TTTTTTTTTCAGGCTGTGTGGGCTGGTTGGGGTCATGCATCGGAAAATCCTCAATTACCTGATGTGCTCAGTAAACATAATATTGCATTTCTTGGTAAGCCCTTTAATGATTAATTATATTACTACTCCTCTATGATTACGCACACAAACTAATTATCTTTAAGTAAATACTTTCAACTCTACTTAAAAGAAATACATATATATATATTATCATCAGAATGGGTTTTGTGGAGATTTTAGAAACTTCACTGGTTGAACTCATGAGTCAATTGAAGCTAGACCACCATAGAAAACCTGGAAGCACTGGACAGCCGTTTCGTCCTGGTATGGGACTCTTCAGCAGTGCGCATCCGCGATCCTGCACCCCGCGAGATTCGAGCCCAGGTCTGTTGTGAGATAGGAACTCACTGAGGACAATGGTGTACGGCGGCGCAACTATGTGGATTGGTTGAAGTTAGACATTAACACCGTTATATGCCGGTTCAGTGGTCTAGTTGGTTAAGTGCCTGGTGCGAGACCGATAGGTCCTGGGTTTGAATCTCGTGGGGTGCGGGATCGTGGGTGCGCGCTGCTGAGGATTTCCATGCTGGGACGAAATGGCGGTCCAGTGCTTCCAGGTTTTCCATAGTGGTCTAGCTTTAATTGACTCATGATTTCAACTAGTGAAACATATATTCCCTGTAAGTTCAGCTAGTTGCGTTGGGTCTCACATCTTTTAAACAATAGTTTATATTGAATATACGAATCGCCGGACGATATATTCTCAGTGACTAATTTATAGACCGTTTTGTTTTTAATCATATAAATTGATCATCTTATTTATACTTGTTGAGCTTGAGCTTCCCGACCGTTGTTGCTACCTTGACGTGGTGGTCGGGCTTGCCTATCGTGATGAAGCAACCGAGCTATACTGGCTGGAACAACCGTTCCTCAAGGTCCTACCATGTCAGACAGGTCGGTTGAAGAGCGGTAAGACTAAAAGCAACAAACCCAAGGTCCGAAGGCGAAGTCGTACTGCTGACTGTACAGAGGTGTGACAGCAGTAAGGTGTTTCCTTCAGACAACCAGCATGACAGCGATGCTGCCTTCCCACAAGGAGGGGTGGGGTTAGAAAAGGTCGACCCTAAAAATGCACACCTCGCCTTACCCCACGGATATCCGTCTCCGGCGGTAAGGTCTCAATAAGTACGGAGCTAACACAAAAATTACCCATAACAAGGTCGTGTGTGACCGACCTCAAGCAGTTGTCCCTTGGGCACTGCGGTCACGCTCTCAGTTCACTAAGACCACCTTTAATCCAATTTCCTTTTCAGGTACCTCCAGAACAACCCTTCCACGGTGTGGGCAACCGGGAAGTGATAACCGCCCTCATACTTCTAACAGCACTCAAGACCACTGTATTCATAATCAACCTCCTTCTTCAATTCCTATTATTCCTCCTACATCGACTTTCAACTCTGTATTTCCTCTCTCGGCTTCCACCTCAAGTGTCACCGTAGCCAACGATTCTAGTGCGCAAAACACTGTCCCAGGTCTACTGAAACCTCGCTCCAAACTACACATTGGAGCCTTCAACGTACGCACCCTATGTCAAATCGGTCAGCAGGCTTCCTTGGCTAAAACCCTAGAGTCTCTTTCCATTGATGTATGCTGTGTCTCCGAAACACGCATACAGGATTCCAGTGTGGTCATTCACTTGACCTCACCTCGGCAAGACGGAGAGCCAACGAGATACACCCTTCGTGTGTCCGGTGACCCGATGGCAAGTTCTCGTGGACTGGCAGGTGTAGGCATAGCACTAAGCATGAGGGCCGAACAAGCACTGCTAGAGTGGATCCCCGTCAACAGTCGTCTATGTGCTGTTCGGCTGAACGGCTACGTAAGAACTCGGAAGGATAGGGACACACGTCGTTGCCTTTTTGTCGTTTCTGCCTACGCTCCCACTGACTGCAGCTCAGATGAAGTGAAAGATGAATTTTACAGAAAGCTATCCGAACTTCTTCAGAAAGCTAAACGCTCAGACATAGTACTCGTAGCAGGTGATTTTAATGCTCAGATAGGCAGTTTAAACCAAACAGAAAGGCATTTAGGTGGATATTTTAGTATTCCGACACAGCGAACAGATAATGGTGATCGTCTGCTGCAGCTATGCTCAGACAATCGTTTATTTTTAGCAAACACAAATTTTAAGCATAAGGAGAGACATCGTCTAACATGGCGACCCCCTACACCAAACCAACGATGGACTCAAATAGACCATATTGCCATCAGTCATCGTTGGAGAGGGTCGGTAGAAGATTGTCGCTCATTCTGGAGTACCTGCTTGGACTCCGACCATGCCCTAATACGGGCACGCATCTGCTTGCGCCTCAATGGACGCAAAAAAGCCACATTAAAAAGACCCATTAGAACTGAGTTGAGTAACGAGAAAACCAAAAGTAGGTTCCAGGAACAACTGAGGTCACACTTAGGTAGTTGTGAAGACGAGGCTGACCCAGATGTTGCTTGGAAGGACATACAAGCAGCTGTGGAAACAGCAGTGACATCTATTAGTGACTTAAACCACAGAGTTACAAGGAACCAGTGGATTTCTTCAAGGTCTGTCACACTGATGGATTCTCGCAAACTCGTCCCATCAGGTTCTGAACATGATGAAGAGCGTAAACAAATCAGATCTAGGTTAAGAAAAAGTCTAAGGAACGACCGTGAGCAGTGGTGGGTAACGAAAGCAAAAGAGATGGAAAAGGCGGCGACTATAGGGAACACAAGACAGCTTTACAGACTAATAAAAGAAACTGGAATTAATAAGTCAAGTGTAAGTGAGATTATTTCGGAAAAAGATGATACTCTCATCTGCTCCCAGTCCAGACGTTTAGAACGATGGGCGGAACATTTTAGAGAACAGTTCAGCTGGCCTTCAGCTACTCTACAACTACCCTCCATTCCCAGACAAAGTGAATGGAACATTGAAGTAGGTCCCCCAACTCTTGCTGAAGTTGAGAAGGCTATAGTTAATCTGAAACGAGGAAGGGCAGCTGGTCCAGATGGACTGGCTCCAGAAGTCTTTAAGGATGGTGGTCCAATTTTAGCGATTAGGTTGACTAATATTTTAGCTAAATCTGGGAGTTAGACGTTATCCCATCTGACTGGTCGCAATCACTTATCGTCCCAATATATAAGAAAGGGTCAAAATCATCCTGTGACAACCACAGAGGGATTAGTTTAACAAACATAGTATCTAAAATACTGGCCTCGATAATTATCAAACGCCTAACTAAGACTCGTGAACTACAAACACGAGAGAACCAAGCTGGCTTTAGACCTGGTCGTGGCTGCATCGACCACATATTCACCATTCGTCAGGTTCTAGAACACAGGCATACCTATCGGCGTCCGACGATGGTGGTCTTTCTTGACTTAAAAGCAGCATTTGACTCTGTAGACCGCGAGACTCTGTGGCAGTGTCTGTCATTGAAAGGCGTACCTCAGAAGTACATAAACCTTGTGAAGGCTCTTTACTCGAACACTACTAGTCGAGTCAGGGCTTATGGCGAACTGTCATCTACCTTTGCAACCTCAAGTGGTGTCCGTCAAGGCTGCCCACTTTCTCCATTTTTGTTTAACTTCATCATAGACCTATTGATGGAAATAACACTCTCGTCGACTGAATTCTCGGGTATTGATCTCCTTCCAGGAGGTCCACTTATCGACTTAGAATATGCAGATGACATAGTCCTGTTTGGTGAAGACGCTGACAAAATGCAGAGTCTTCTGGTAGCACTAAGCAACAATGCCAGAATGTTTGGGATGCGCTTCTCTCCCTCTAAATGCAAGTTGTTGCTTCAGGACTGGTCTGCGTCAACACCTGAACTAAGGATAGGGAGTGAAGTAGTCGAACGTGTTGACAACTTCACTTATCTTGGAAGTCTGATCAGCCCTAATGAGTTGGTGTCTGACGAAATCTCAGCACGGATTCGAAAAGCTCGTTTGGCTTTTGCCAACTTACGTCACCTATGGTGAAGGCGAGATATCCGTCTATCAATAAAAGGACGAGTATACTATGCGGCAGTCCGTTCTGTTTTACTTTACGGCAGCGAAACATGGCCTTTAAGAGTAGAAGACACTCGTAAGCTACTAGTATTTGACCACAGATGCCTTAGAAATATTGCTGGCGTCTGCTGGGATCACCGGGTAAGTAATAGTGAGGTTAGACTCAGGGTATTAGGGAATGGTGGTAAATCAGTTGATGAGGTTATGAATCTTCATCGACTGAGATGGTTGGACCACGTGTTACGTATGCCTGAACACCGATTACCACGACGTGCAATGCTAACCGGTGTTGGAGATGGTTGGATGAAAGTTAGGGGCGGCCAAACCAAAACGTGGCATCAGTGCTTCAAGACACTAACTTCTAGTCCGAGGCATGTTGGTAGATGCAGACTACCTGGTTGGGGTCCACGTAACTATCGTAACCACTGGTTGGAGACTGTGGATGACATGGCTCAGAATCGACCACAATGGCGTCGGTGTATACACTCTCTGTGTTCCCTTAAACTAAGAGATTAAAATCGCTTCATATCTTTCTTTCTACCAACTAATTCTTTCTTCCTGTACTATATCCTTATTGCAATGTTTCTTTTATATATTACCACCTCTGAATTAACTACTTTTATGAATCCGGTGTTCATCTTGCTGTGCTAATGAGGTATGGCAACCTGGATCGATGCATACATGTGCCTGGTCCTACGTTGTAGCTGATTGACTGACTGACTGGAATGTTCATGTCTAACTTCAACTAATCCACGAAATTGAGCGACACATCCACACACATACTTTATATTTATGATTGGTGAAATTTTTCGATTTTTTTTTACTGATGTATAAATGTTTGTAATAATTGTTATCTCAGAAATGATGATGATGATGATGAATTGACGTGTATAAGTTTGTCGTCAGATGTAACTGATTTCTGTCTTGTTTTTTTTTCAATCTACTTATAGGTTGAATCAATTTCTTGTCTGCAGTGGATACATTTGGTCAACAAGTACATCCGGAATTATTATTACAATTGATTAATTCTGAAACAGTTATATTTGATATTTTAACAGATTTTTTTTATCATCCAAATCATGCTGTGGCAAGTGCTGCATTAGAGGTAAAAATTAGTAGTTCTTTTTTATCTGTATCTCTCTTGTTCTATTCTTGTCTGTGTAAACATACTTCATATTGTAATTTCAAGTTCATTTGATTATATAATTATGTAGACCAAAGCAGGTAGTTTTCTTAGGGGATCACTCCCCGAGCCTTCGACTTAAAGGTCTGATCCACAAGGCAGTAGAGCAACGTAAGGAGATGCAGTCACGTGGTAGCCAGTAAAACAATATGTTCATACCTCATTTATTCCCTCAGGATACTAGAGCCTATGTGCACCATTGGTTTGGAATGAGGGTTTTCTAAGTTCCCTAGATGGATCCTGCACATTCACCAACCCGGTTAAAGCACCGGACATTCACTTTTCGTCCTCTTAATTTCGTAAACAACAGTAATGTCGCGAGAAGGCAGTTTCTAGAACTTCCTTGCCAGTGATTGTATACACGTGGCCATGTGAGGGCATTTGGAGAGGGAGTGCTAATTCTCCCCACTCTCGGCCATACCAGGGCATTTGGGGGCGGTTGTAAAGTTAGGTACTAAATGGATATGAACTTCAGTAGATCACCTAAAGATTGAAAGCGAACATCTGTATTGTATCTTATGCAAATATAACCGTTTCTATAAATTTTTTTACCAACCTCAAATGGTAACTGTGAAATGGTTCACTGTTGTACAATCTTCGGTTTACCAATCAAATACTTAGATAATTTATGAATCAAAATGTTTACATTATCATTCAAAAATTCAAAATGTTTATATGTAATTAATCCACTTTATTTTACTGTTCTATTGTTTATTAATAACTCATAAACTTTATTGAATTATCGTATAATTTCGAACTATGCGTTTTATTTCACTGGTTGAAATCATGAGTCAATTGAAGCTAGACCACCATGGATCGTGGATGCGCACTGCTGAGGAGTCTCATACTAGGACGAAACGGCCGTCCACTGCTCCCAGGTTTTCGATGGTTATCTAGCTTCAATTGACTCATGATTTCAACCAGTGAAATTTCTAAAATCTCCACAAAATCCATTCTGATATGTACTTATGTTTTCTCTTGAAATGGTGTGCATTTATGTTCAGCTCCATTCTGACGACCTTTTTTCTAATTTAAAGCACAGACTTTGAAAAACATGACATAAAAGATGTCTAAAATTGCAAGTTAATAAATAATCACTCAATTAGATTGACCATTTGAAAAAAAAGTTTGATTTTCTTAATTTAAGTCACGAATCGATCTAAGTTAGGCCACCACCGAAAAATTGAAAGCACTGGACTGCCGTTACATCTTAATATGGAATTCCTCAGAAATGCGCATCCACGTTCCTGTACGCGGGACTCGAGCCTGGGGTTGCTCAAGACCATGCATCGGTGGAAGCCAAACATTAACACCGTTGGATCTCAGCTAAGTTGTACGGAGTTAAGGCGTTCGCGCGCGAGACTGAAGTTTCTGGGTTCAAATCTCGTGTGCAGGATCGTGGGTGCTCACCACTGAGAAATTCCATATGAAGACGAAACGGCTTTCCAGGGCTTCCATGTTTTCGGTGGTGATCTAGCTTAGCTTAACTTGTGATTTCAGCTTTCTAAATACTACAATCTTTACAGATCCCCATAGTGATAAATTTTTGATCATCAAAATTAACTAGTTCCATTTCATACATTCAACATAGAACATTTACAATTTATTCTTGCTGTCAACAGCTTTTGTATTGTAAAGGAATTGTCAAGAGTTTAGAAAAGAACGTTTCCTGACTTGATGATTAGTGTCATGTGTTAAACAATCAAACTGTTTTCAAGTAGTTGTCGATATGTCGTTTGATATTTTCTATTCGTTATCGACACCAAAAACAAATCAGCTGACTCTCCAGCACACTTCTTGATCTTTCGCACTTTTGGTTATCAGTTTTCTATTTTCTTACTTTATTCCTATGTAGGATATAGCTGTAGCATGTTTTTCCAGTATGAATATTCTACGTCAGTATTACAGTCATTAATCCTCTTAGTTAGAACTTCGTCCATTTGAAGTTCATATATTTTTAACGCTTTAATATCTCTTCAAACAGCATTTCAAGGGTTCGTAACATGATGAAATCTTTTAGTGTGATAGAATTCCAGTCTATATTCTCAATGTCGATATTGATTATTGTTTTTTGTATGCATTGTGATAGATATGTACGACTGTCCTCTCTAAAAGTCTATTTAAAGATTTATACTACTACTAAGTAGTTTAGAATGTTTCGAAAATATTTGTTTAACATTCTGTTTTGAACATTAAGTAATGTTTAAAAATCCCACTTATTCATCAAACGTAGTTCTATTATTACAATTTTTAAGTCCTCTTTATCTAACATCTAGGGATTTTCATCAATAATTACCTATAATTAGAAGAAGTTCATTTATTTCAGTAGATAATAGTTTTGGTAAATCTCCGTTATCCCATGATGGTGATGAATAATTTGCAACTTACTCTATGTAACCAAATCACACCAAGAAATGATCGTTTTATTATCATCAAATTCGAATACTTTATAATTTCGATCAACCATCAAGTTTTTCTCTTCATGAACCCAGCATATCACCGTCAAAGTGCCGTTGACTACAATTGTTAGTCAAACATTACTTACATTGAGTATTAGCAGAGGTGTGGTACCAGTAGAAATATCCAAAGATGTCAAAGTTTTAAATTTGTTAAATTTCATATTACTAACTTTTATATATTTCAGTAAACAGTTAATTACTTCTCAAAAATTTTCCTCTTTTATTCAAGGTTTATATTAGACGTTCATATACAGCATATGAATTAACCGGTGTTCATCATTTTCAATTATCTTGTGGTAGTTCATTCTTTACATTCAGATTTTTGTTACCAAATGAATTTGTTTCTAAGTAAGTGAATTTTCAAACTGTTAAAATAAACATTTTTTTTTTACTTGAGATAGATAGTCATTTATTTCTATGATAGATCATTTATTTACATCTTATAAAGGAGTCTTTCACTTTCAGCATCATCTAGCAATGATGCATAATGTCGCCATTGGGTCTGTGCATCACCGATCCTTACAGAATCCAGTCTGTTGATTTCGAATTTGGGCGTCCACTGAATCTTTCATCCAGTTCAACGAATTTCTGTTAAAAAAAAACTTTCTTTGGCACTAATAGTAATGTGATACTACTGTAGCTGACTTCTCACAGTTGTTCAGATCTTTGGTATCTTGATGAGATATCCCTCCTTCCAGTCTGCTCTTTTTCCTCCTCCAAAATCTTCCTGAACATACCTACAGTTACTTATATGTCTGAGTTCTGTGCTTCAGCTGGCATATTGTAAGGTTCTGCTGCTTTCCCACTCTTGATTTGTTTGATGGCCGTCCTCATTTCTTCGATCGTTCGTGTAGTGACATCTAAAGGGAGGTCTGTGTGTGCTGTTCCAATGTTCAGTGGAGCTGATCGATTCAAGAGTTTTTCAAAGTGGTCTACCCATCTGTTTCTCCGTTCTGGAATTTGAGCGATTGGCTTTCCTTCTTTTTCTTTGATCGGTCTCTCTGGTGTACTTTATTTCCCTAACAGTTTCTTCGTTGTGCTATGTAGCTGTTTCATATTTCCTTCTATTGAAGTTTTTTCGACTGTCGTTGATAGGTCTTCCATGTATTTCTGCCTGTTTGTTTTATTGCTCCTCTTCACTTGCTAGTTTGCTTCTGTGTATTCAGCTTGTGCCTTGACTTCTTTTGTTCTTGTTCAGCTGTTGTTAATTGCTGTCTTTTTGTCCCTTCCGTTCTTGAATGTTGTCCAAGGCCCTAGGGAGATCTATTCCTTATGATGGTGCCTATTCGGCCCAGCACCTCCTGACACGTTGAAGGTAATGCTTCTTCGAAACCTCTTCCAGTTGTCCTCCATTGTAGTTTCTTCTTTGAGTAGGCTTGAAACCTGTCGTTGAGAGTTATCTTGAACTCGCTGAGTTTGTTAGTATCTCGTAAGAAGTCTGTATTGACCCTTAGTAGTGCTATTTGTCCTATTGCCCAGTGCTACTTTAGTTTTAGTTTCATCTTGACAATCACCAGGTGGTGATCTGAAGCTGTGTCAGCACCTCCCTGATTGCTAGTATAGGGGTTGTGGAGATTATTAAGTTTTCGATTGAGAGAATGAACCGATTGATGTTAGACCACCACCTTTGGAAACCTGGAACCACTGGACGGCCGTTTCGTCCTATTGTGGGACTCCTCAGCAGTGCGCATCCACGATCCCGAATTGATTGATGTTAGACACTATCACCATTGGATGCCGGCTCAGTGGTCCAGTTGGTTAAGCGTTCGCGCGCGAGACCGAAGGCCGTGGGTTCGAATCTCGCGAGCGGGATCGTGTATGCGCACAACTGAGGAGTCCTGCAATATGACGAAACGGCCGTCCAGTACTTCCAGGTTTCCAAAGGTGGTGGTCTAACATCAATTGATTCATGATCTCAATCAAAAACCTTTCCTGGTTATTATGTTTTCCATTGACCTTCTGTAACACTAGAAATCCTTATAATTCGTTAATTAAATCATCTCAATTGGTTTTTTGTACACATCTTCTAGTGTGGTTAATGTTTCGTATCATAAGCCATACTTCACGTTACAATAAAGTATTGAACTTAGCGAAATTCAATAAACAATATTCGATGAGACTAATCATCAAAAGTTGTTCACCACTTTTAGAAACATCTGTTTACAAACGATGGGTTTCTTATATCTTCTTAACATTCGTAAATATACGATCTTTTTCATGAAAAATTTATTAGGCCAAACATTCTTGTAAGTTGGAACCAATAGTCCTCAGTTATGATAGTCTGTAAGTACACGAGGAATTTCTTTAGATTAGATCAATCTATGTTTGTTAAAATTTATACGTAAAGTACTCGACAACGTACATTTCTTGAATTTAACGAGGTATAATTGAATCTTTATTCATTGAATACACATTTATTTTATATCTCTTATGATGACTAAGAACATAATACCAGAATGGATGTTAGAATTTACAAGATTCAAGTTAGTGTATGAAATAATTTGGTTAACCTTTACAATGAAATATTAGTTTAGCTTCAACCTTAATGATTTTCTAAAATGATAGGTTATTCTTAACCCGTATGATGATCATATTTAGATGCTTTCTTTCACCAGATGATTTATTTATAGGTAGCCTCAGTTAGACAGTCAGTCAGCAACAGCGTGGAACTTCGTACGTACGTACGTACATCAGTTCAAGTTGTCATACCACATTAGCACAGAGATACAATTGTCACTTCAAATCCCGTAGTAATATAGGTAGTAAAAGTATAAGCAGTAATCGGAAAGATTAGGGTTTGAAGATGTTATTCACGAAGTATAATCCAGTGAAATAAATTTGGAAAGTGAAAAAAAGGGACATGAAGAATTCAGAAGACTAGAATTTGAGAGAACACAAAGAGTAGTGGATCCACCTATGCATCATTATAAACCTGCAAATCTAAGTGTATCCATTACTTTTCTTTTTTTTAATATTTCTATGTTCAATGTTACGTAATGTTTTTTTTTTAAATATTTCTTACTATTTCAGTTCTTCAAGTGTTCATAACAGACGTCCTTCAGATTATCAAAGAAATCATAATTTAGAACATTCAATTGATTCTCCAATAGTTGAAAATATTCCAACTTATCATATATCTTCAACATTATTCAATGTAAATAATTCTGATTCACAAGATTATACTACTTCATCAGATACCACCTCTATTACGAATCAAAAATCAACAATGATGAATAATTTTCAAAGTATGATTGATATTGATACTACTCCTTTATCTGGTGAACGTATGGGTGGTATGACAGCATTTAATTCTTTAAGTGATTTGGAAGAGTAAGTTATGTTAGTTATATGATAAGACGTACTTCTTTTTTATGCATAGTTCTGGTTTAAGCTCCTGAATGGTATGAGCTTCGGCTATTTTTAAGAGTTAGATACGAAGTTCTATACTTGAACATCTAATCGACTGTAACCATTCTACAGATCCACAATTTGATTTTAAGCTTGTTTATATGATTCGTTCAAATCTAACCAGATTTCTTCGTAACCAACTCTTAAAAACTCCTTAAAGCCGTAGCTCTTACCATTCAGGAGCTTAAACCAGAACTATGTTTAGTTATACGTTGATAGATTTGTTTGTTTTTGTTATTTTCTATCTGTGATCAATAATTCGCTTGATGTATTTTTAAAGTATATATTTAATAATAACTCAGAATGAATTAGAAATGTCCGCCATTTGAAATAGAAACAACACATCTGAGTGATAATACTACCACTACATTCTGTTAGTTAGTTTATAATAGTGAGTTGGAAATTCTGAACGTAGAGTTATTTCTCATTCTCTAGTACTGGTTGATTTCTATCGATCAAATTACAATATGGCAACTAATCTGTCTGACGTTGTATTCTATGGATTAGATTGAGATTGTTGGAGAGGATCAATAGGACACTTCGGACATACATTTCGTATGAGTTTAGACTGATCGATAAGACCTACTTGCAATCTTAGGAAAAATTGATGCTGTGTGCAGGATGAAAGTTTAATGTATCCTTTTCTAAATGTTAAGATATCTTTTCCATCAATAATGAACCAACAAATTTTCAGGATTCATCTAGAAGATTTCTTCTCTTAGTACACATTTTTGTACTACTTGTTGAACATGTAGTCGTTGATGTTTCGTCGCCTAAAAGTAAATATGAGTTGTACATTCACTAATTTGTATCAATATTAGTGCTTATAATCTCAAGTACTTTTCCAACAAACGCAAAAGTATTCGGAAAATTTAGTTTGATTCTGAAAAATATTTCGAAATCAATACTTTTTGTAAATCATAATTATTTTCAACAGAGTTTTTCATTTCACTTGGTATTGTTAGGCTTCTATTTTCCCATTGAGGTTTAAGTCTGCAATGATCAGTCTGTTATTGGCATATGTGCATACTTTGCGTATGCTTCGATGCAGGTACATCCAGCTGACGAGTCCCAAATAGGACGAAACGCGCGTCCTGGATTTCACTGCTAGCCACTATCCCATCATTGTTTACAATGAGCTTTTCATTTGTTTCATCTTTTGTTGTGAAAAGTTGTAGGATGATAATTGATTTTGTACTTCTTAAAGTTACTATCTTCGTAGTTAGCTTTTATTAAACTGCGTCAATTTTAGTTCAGGGAAGAGGTCCGTCTACCAACTAAAAGATAAGTGAAATTCGCGGCAATGCGCTCTGTATTGGTCTATCTTGTAAACGATGGTCTATAAAACCAGAGGACATTAACAGAATTCAGTATTTCCATCACAGATGTTTTAGAAGTTGTGAGGTAGTCCTAAAATATTCCTCATCAAAGTCTTCAGAGACCGTGAATCACTAGAAACCGTTTTATCCGATCATTGGCTAGAGATGTAAAATCAAGTTCTTCAAAATCTATCAAAATAGTTCGGACATATTCACTCTTTATCTTCCTCACGATCTTAAATTTCAACGTTTCTTCATTCATACCTTTGCTGTCTTTATTCTAGAACCTTAAGCTTGTTAGGTAGTCTTTCCTTTTGCCAACAACACTATAACATTATAATTCGTTTGATGTTCATTCCAGCCTTTTTTTTTATCTCCTTATGCTGTTATTGTTTGAAAACTTGTATTCATGCATTTTTGCGTCAAAATCTACGTTCACTATGATTGACTGACTCGTAGTAACTTTGCATGACTGAATCAGTCAGTTATTCAGCTACAACGTACGACCAGGCACATATATGCATCGGTCCAAGTTGCCATACCTCATTAACACAACAAGATGGACACCAGATTCATAAAAATAGTTAATTCAGAGGTGGTAATATATAAAAGAAAGATTGCAATAAGGATATAGTACAGGAAGAAAGAATTAGTTCGTAGAAAGAAAGAAATGAAGCGATTTTAATCTCATGGTTTAAGGGAAGATAGAGAGTGTATACACCGACGCCATTGTGATCGATCGGTTCTGAGCCATGTCACAAAGAGTCCCTAACCATTGGTGACGATAGTCAAGCGGACCCCAACCAAGTAGTCTGCATCTACCGACATGGCTCAAAATAGAAGTTATTGACTCCAAGCACTGATACCACGTTTTGGTTTGGCCACCCCTAACTTTCTTCCAACCATCTCCAACACCGGTTAGTATTGCACGTCGTGGTAAACGGTGTTCAGACATACGTAACACGTGGTCTAACCATCTCAGTCGATGAAGATTCATAACCTCATCAACTGATTTACTATCATTTCCTAATACCCTGCGTGTAACCTCACTATTACTTACTCGGTGATCCAGCAGACGCCAGCAATATTTCTAAGGCATCTGTGGTCAAATACTAGTAGCTTACGAGTATGTTGTACTCTTAATGGCCATGTTTCGCAGCCGTAAATTAAAACAGAACGAACTGCCGCGCAGTATACTCGTCCTTTTATTGATAGACGGATGACTAAATAATGTTATTTTATGATCAATACTGTTTAGATATTAAGTTATAAATGCTTATGTATACTGAAATGAGATTTTCAATTAGATGTTGACATGGGATCATGTTTTATACACAATACAAATCATTATTATGACTTTATTTACACTTTTACATATTTCTGTAGATCATTCGATGAATTAATTAGATTATTCAATTCCGCATGTAAAGAAGCTAAAAGTATTCATACTTCATTATCTGAACCAATATTTGATTATTCTCGTCAATTCACTTCTGATATTGTTCATCAAAAATCACAGAATAATCATAATCATAATAATATTTCAAATAATGAAACAAAATTAATCAGTTTTCAAGATCCACCTTATCATACAGTAAGTGCTTTTATTTTGTAATCTATCTCAGATTTGAATTGAATTAGATTTCATTATCAATCTTAAGCCCCCAAAGGCCCTGGTACAGCCGAAAGTGAGAAGAGTCCGCTCTCCCTCTCGAAATGTTCTCACATGGTCACGCGTATATAGCCTCTGACAGGGAAGTCCTAATTAGTGACTTCTCGTGGTGGGAGTGTTGTTTACGAAATTGAGAGAACGAAAAGCGAATGTCCGGTGCTTTAACCGGGTTGGTGAATATGGAGAGTCTACCCAGGGAGTTGGAAAACCGTGATTCCAAACCAATGGTGCACATGGTCTCCAGTATCCTGAGGGAACAAATGGCGTATGAACCAATCTTTGGTCACCGACTACCATGGGACTGCATCTCTTTACGATGCTCCACTGCCTTGTGGATCAGACCTTCAGGTTGAAGGTTCCTGGTGTGCGCTCCCTAAGGAAACCGCCTGCTTCGGTTCGGGCACCTGGAGAGTATCACAGCCCTCACACATGTCAAGTGAGATTTGTGTGGCGTATATGTATTTGGTGCCTCCTTGTACCAATATCTATGTGTTGAAATAATAAAAAAAAAATAAATTACGTTGTACGGATAATAATCAACGCATTATATTTTCTATTGTTAAAATTGTAAACTCATTGAAATTGGATGTTCAATCAGTGGTTTAAAGTTTTTGAGTTCTCTTCGCTGATGGAAATATAAATATGCATTGTTGAACGATTCTATACTTGGACGAAATACCTATTCATTACTGGCTATGTAAACAAAATCAGTCTCATAATGTGGAACTTTATATGAAACAATCTCCACAATACTCTATAGTAAAAAGTCTCATTGTTTAATTCTATGAGTTTGAATGTGGTCTACATGTTTGATTGTTTCTTAGTGCTGTAAATTAGTATATGGGACACTTTCTGTTACATATAAATGGATTAATTTACCTTGATAACATAAAATAGTGTATGTATTACTTGTGTCAATGGCTTTCTAAACAATGGTGTCTTTTGATCATATACACATATCGAAAGTTTAATATTCAGATTAGCCTTCTCTGTAAGAATGTGTTTATTGTAAAGTATACTTAGAAGGCAAACCGATTTTCATTCTTGAACTTGTTTTCAGAAATCCATTTGATACAATAAGGAGATAGTTGTATTTTAACGTCATGAGGTTAAAAGTAAAAGGGGATAGTTTTTACAATTTAGTTCAATGTTGATTGGGACGCATCAGGCTAATGTGACAACAATCATGGTGAAATCATCGTTTTCTTAGTGATACATAATAGGAGTTCAGTGGTGAACCCGAATTGTAGAGTCAGTATGTTCTGTCCAGGTATGAAATATTCTGGTACTTCTTTAAATCTCTGATGAAGCACTCGTTCTCAAGTGATTTTAAATGTCTGGTTCATACTTACTTACTTACTTACGCCTGTTACTCCTCGTGAAGGAGCATAGGCCGCTCACCAGCGTTCTCCATCCAACCCTGTCCTGGGCAATCCTTTCTAGGTCCGTCCAGTTGTAATTCGTCGTTTTCATATCTGCTTCTATTATCCGACGCAATGTGTTTTTTGGCCTTCCTCTTTTTCGCTTCCCTCAGGATTCCAAGTTAGGGCTTGCCTCGTGATGCAGTTTGACGATTTGCGTAATGTATGTCCTATCCATTTCCATCGTCTTTTCCTAATTTCTTCTTCAGCTGGAAGTTGGTTTGTTCTCTCCCACAGAAGGCTGTTGCTGATGGTATCCGGCCAATGGATGTTGAGTATCTTGCGAAGACAGCTATTTATAAATACTTGTACTTTCTTGATTGTGGTTGTTGTAGTTCTCCAAGTTTCAGCTCCATACAGTAGAACTGCCTTGACGTTCGTATTGAAGATTCTCACTTTGATATTGGTTGAAAGTTGTTTTGAGTTCCATATGTTCTTCAATTGTAGGAATGCGACCCTTGCTTTGCCGATCCTCGCCTTTACGTCTGCATCTGAGCCTCCTTGTTCATCGATGATGCTTCCCAGATATGTGAAGGATTCTACATCTTCCAGAGTTTCGCCATCGAGAGTGATTGGATTGCTGTTCTCCGCTTTGAATTTGAGGACCTTAGTTTTCCCTTTGTGTATGCTGAGGCCTACTGATGCAGAGACTGCTGCTACACTGGCTGTCTTCATCTGCATCTGTTCGTGTGTACGGGATAGGAGGGCTAGGTCATCTGCGAAGTCCAAATCGTCTAATTGATTCTGAGCTGTCCATTGTATTCCGTGTTTTCCTTCAGATATTGAGGTCTGAAGGTCGCACTTAATGTTGAAGTAAAGATAGAAGGAAATAACCTTCTTAGTTAACTATCTGGTAGTATTCTGTATCGTTTAATGAGTGAGGTGTACGTTACTCTACTCCTCTTTTGTCTTAAGACGCTTAGAACTGATTCCTTGAAAAGTTCATCTGGAACGTCGAGAACAAACAAATTTCCTATCATATGTAATAAATAAATTATATCGAAACGTCTGCAAATTGTTCACATATACTTCTATCCAATCACCGCTCTAGATAATTCTTATTAAAATTTAGAAACCAATTAATTACTATTTTCCTTGAAATGGTATAGTCAGTATCAAATTTATTATGAATTTTAGTATTCTTTTTGGGATCTACTTGAACTTCAAGGTTATCAGTAGTTCTATTTTCACGGCGCAACTATAATTTATGCATGAACCAATCAAATATAAGATAACAGATTTTGGATTTTGGCGCGACATTCAACGATCCATTTGGCTTATTCCTAAACTTATTCGTCAACTCTAAATCATAACTCTAGTTCCTCACACAGGTTCATAACCCTCATTTGGTCTTAATTGTTAGGTGAACATTCAAAGTCACTTTAGCGTCTCTCAAGAATCGTCCATAAATTATAGTTTCACCCTTTTCAGTTTTAAACATACACTGAACATAAGGCTCTTTTTCATATTTCCTCTTAATTTTTTTTCAAGTTCAAGTGTCGAATATTGTAGAAGTTTGTAGTTCAAATAAATAATCAATATTTTAAGCTCTTTCTTTTTACCAAATATATCGCTTCCCCTTCTTCTTCTTCTTCTTCTTCTTCTTCTTCTTCTTCTTCTTCTTCAACCATCACAGTTTCTATACACTAAATATTTAATGATCGTGTTTGGCTCGAATTCTAGATTGATTCTAAGACCTTTATCCATTCGTGAATTCATTAAGATACTATCCTTGTACCTTATATCAGATAATGTGTAAAGTGATTTCACTTTGCTAACAACTATGTCTTATATATATATGCTATGTTTCTCTGTGGGTTTCGTAATCGATTGGTGGGTATCAGTAACAGTGGGTGGTTAGCCCGATCTCCGCCACCCGGGTTACCGCTCACGTTAGTTCATAAGTCATTCGTCTCACTATCCAGGAGACATGACGCAAACGTGTGAGTCGGATTTTGCCTCCAATTATATATATCTTGTTTACTATACTTACATGTAATATAAATCATTCATTTCTTATGTAATGTTGTTGTATGTTATTCTTCTGTGGACATTCTGAATAATTGATCATAATTTTATATTAACAGTATTTCAATGGATTTAACAAGGTAATTTATGCTTGATAATTTAATACTACTGCTACTACTACTACTACTACTACTACCATAACTGTTACGTTTAACAATACCATTTATTCTTTCATGTTGCTGTGTTAATAAGTCCATTTTTGTATACATGTGTGCACACTAATGTTATTTGCTTTATTTCTTGGCCATATATCATTCATCTTATCTTTTGTGATGATTTTGTATGTTGATCAACTGAAATTATAACCACCAGTTTATTAATCCCTTGAAGATGTTCTTGAAGTTCTAGTGGAAAGTTGTAACTGATGAAGTTCAGACATGTGAGGAGTGAAACAGTTGTTACCAATAACTTTGGATGTCGTCGAACTATTTCACAAATTGATCAAATTTAGAATTCTATCGTTGTATGCTAGCCGAGTGGTTTTAATGGTCAAGTGTTCACCGATGTACCTGAAGGTTCTAGTTTCGATACTTGGTGACATCCGTTATGGTTAATTTTAGGGAGTCCCATTATAAAATGAAGCAACTATTTCTTACTTTCTAGTTTATAGTAGTATCTGAACTAAAAACAATCTGTGACGAATACAACTTATAAATTGAAATTAGCTTCGGATGAATCTTCGAAACGCAAGGCTCACTGAAAAGCGGCTTTTTAATCCCTTACAGTCCACATGGCATCATTGATTCAATTGACTATCTTCAAGTCTCACGATGAGTAAACTATATGTAAATCGATCGAATGGGAATACTGTTGTTCACATTTCTTATATACGTACAATTTATATACTACCATAATTCTGTGTTAACGATGGATAAGTTCCTTACTACCAAGTGATTGAACTTCACTGGATATAACTTTTCATCAGAAATTCACATTGAAGAACATCATTAATGCTTTGTGGTAATTAATACATCATGATCAGGATTTTCCTCACACAACTGCTAAAGTGTTTTATAAATGTCAACTTCGAATTCCTGACGTTTAATTAGTGGAAGCTTTTACAATTTGTGAGATTTTTCGTAACCTTTGATTTTCCTTGTTATCTAATATTTTTTTATGCTCGTTGTTTTGACACATGTATCTCGAACTCCATCCCACCGTACCTTTGGACGTTACAGTTGAATCATTAACCCCTAATTAAATTTGACGCATAGCTGAATATGTAAATGAGTACTTGGTCAATAGATTGCATTCTGATCAGAGTGTTTCTTTTAATCCAATTTCAGTCATATCTCGTCTATTAAATACTACACTGTGTAGTGCAGAAAAATGATATCTATGAAAATGCGAATCACTAAAATAACAGCTAAATAACATCGCTTATCATAGTAGGTATACGTCACCGAATAATTGTATTCATTCATGTGTAGAACTTTCCAGCTCTATGAACCCAATACTTAATGTGTACATAACATAGACTATTGGGCTGAAATTCGATTATCCGAACTTCGTAAAATGATATACAATTGAATTATGAGAAGGGGTTTTGTGGAGATTTTTTTTAGAAATTTCACTCATTGGTGGTTCAGGGTTCAAATCTCGCGGGGTGCGAGATCGTGGATGCGCACTGTTGAGGAGTCCCATATAAAAGAATTGTAAAATTCTACAGTAGCTAAATAAACCGATGATTAGGTTCTTTGTGTGATGGTTTAATAATAATAATAATTATTATTATTATTAGAAGCTTTATTCAACATTATATTTTTGGTGCAACAAAGCATTCTCAGCATAAAGTATTTGAACAAGTTTCCTTTTCTTATGCCTTGATCGATTGTGACGATAAATTTTGAATGATAACCAGTTAGATGTTAGGAGTTCGGTAATCCACATTTGATTAATGTTCATTCGTTTCAATGCATATTGCCGGCCACCATGATGTCGCTGATTGTACCTTTTTGGATCCCGTATAGCGAAAGGTTGTAAACTTTTCATAAACGCTCCTGAATAGATTGTGTGCACAATAGACATAATGATGTGCTAAAACAAACAATAAAACAGATAACTTGATGAAATATCTAGATCGGAGGAACAGGTAGCCCAGATATTCTTCTTTATTGAATCACTTGATTTCATGAATACATAGGCTTTTGACCTTAAAAAGAAGTGGAAATTATCATCACATAGTAACGAATCATAACTACTACTATACAACAAATATTTCACGAAGGTAAAGTTTCTTCTGAAAAACTCTGTAGTTATTTTCTATATAAAGGAGTTTTTTTATTACTATGCACGTGTATCATAAATGGAACTTATGGTGAACTACAGTTTATATGGATCGATTATCATAGTTATGCTCAAATATGTCATCACTTATAAAAGACTAAAGGGGAAAAGTACAAATAACAAGGTGAAAGAGTATGGTATGATTTTCCATGATTAAATAAAAATAAGTAAATTAGTTTTGACAGGAAATGTTTTCAAATTATAAATTAAGATGGTTTAAATTAGTTTTAATTTATTGTAAAATGTGAAGGAATAAACAGTAATATCAGTCAGTTACAATGTAGGACCAAGCACAGATGGGCATCGGTTCAATTTGCCATACCACATTAGCACAACAAGATGAACATCGAATACATAGAAGTAGTTAATTCAATAGTGGTAGTAATATATAAAAGAAAGAATTAGTTCGTAGAAAGAAAGATATGAAGCGATTTTAGTCTTTCAGTTTATGGGAAGATAGAGAGTGTATAAACCTACGCCATTTTGATCGATCGATTCTGAGCCATGTCGCCCACAGTCTCCAACTATTGGTTACAATAGTCACGTGGACCCCAACCAAGTAGTCTGTATCTACCAATATGGCTAAGACTAGATGTTAATGTGTTCAAGCACTGATACCATGTTTTGGTTTGGCCCACCCCCCCTGACGGTTATATCAAAGTAACTAAGACTGTTATATTGAAAGTAATCGTGTAATCTGCTCACAGATTTCTGGTTTTACAATATGTATGATCAATGCTTGCATAATACATAAGAGATTTATGTGTGTACCTTTTTAGTAAATTCACTTTGATCATAGAAAATAACCACTAATAATGGGTCGAATAGTATGTAATTATCATGAATATTATGTTATAGAATTGTTGATTTCAAATATGTTCTTTGTTCTTCATTATGATCCATCTCCTGAAGAGGCGCTTGTTTATTATAACCATAATACTCATTTTCATTAGTTTTATATCACTACAATTAATCAATAACAAAATCTTTTCTTTAAAAAAAACAACAGTGTTTTACTGAAATAAAAACAATATTTAATGAGACTATCATTTGTGGACGACCCTATGAGCGACGCTTAAACGACCTTTAGAAGTGTCTACCTATATACAATGGCTAAATGACAGTTAGAAATCAGTGTGAGATATTCGAATCAACTGATTCACAGTGGATAGTTAATGGTTGGGAATTAGATCTATAATGCCAAAATGATATTTAGCTAAATAAATGAATGAATGGATGAATTTCGCTCCAAGATTCAAGATTTGTCATCCTAAATCTGATTGGTTCGTCCATAAATTATAATCTCGCCCAATATTTCTCTGACTCTAAGTGTGTGTGTATCTATGTATGTCCGAATGGGTTATTTTGTAAATAACTTCTGGAATGATTTAACACTAATCTAAGAAATTGTTCTTTGTTTCTAACACTTTACAAATGTACTTCATTTTTAAGCACATCTATGGTATAGTCAATTTTAGAAATCATTTAATACTGTTAATATTATTACGTCATTCTCATTTTGTGTGTGTTTGTGTGTGTGTGTGCGCGCGTGTTGGAGCACATATCATATCTCACCATCATTTTTATGATTGCTATCTTAAACTATAAACGGAATTATTGTTCATATGTCAGATATTATTTCTCAATGTTATTGAAATGATCAGTTTAAGGGTTGTGGAGATTGTTAAGTTTTTGATTAACATCATGAACCGATTGATGTTAGACCACTATTGAAAACCTGGAAGCACTAGATGGCCGTTTCGTTCTATTGTGGAACTCCTCAGCAGTGCGCATCCAATTTATTTCAATAGAGATTAGATATGTAATATTGGCCTTTGAATCAAGTTATCTCTTTATACTTGTTACTTATTGATCATATTTATAAAGCCAGACTTGATATTTCAGTATTTTACGAGGTTAATTCCTTTTTTTAGGTGTGTGTAAGAATTAGAGCAAATGCAATGTAATAGATACATTGCAACAAACTCAAATTTCTTTCTACACTGCTAATCCATTGGGGTTTCCCTACATGGGTTCGAATCCCATCCCCGTCGCCAGTTGTTATATCTAGAAGGTTGTTATTGATATACAGCATATAGTGGGCACTGGAACGCCAAAACCCTTCCAAGTCGCAATGAGAAGACAGAAGACTGACGAAAGCAATATTATTCCCAGACAGTGTCAATTATAGTACAAAATTGTCAAGTATTTATACTTTTTATTAAGAACGAAGTCATCATTAAAGTCCTCCAATCCGCATATTGGAGGTTATTAGTATTGTCCAATCTGTAAGCTACACATAGGAATTCTAGAACATTCTTCAAAAGGTGATTGGATGGAATATTTTCTGAGCCTCCTACAACTTCCTCTTGTTCACCCGTGGTCCGTCGTCACATTTTCATTCTGCCTATTTTAATTGATAGTAATCTTTTTTCTATTTTTTTTGCTTCAGACTGATCCTCAAAGAGAACCAATTCATATATTAAATATTGCTCTACGTCAATCTTCATATAGATACATACAACCTACTCGCATATTATCATCATCGAATGATGATACATCAGTGTCCTCAAAATCAAGACCTTCTGGATTCACTAAAAACTCATTGCTACTACCTGATTCAGTAATTAATGAAACAAGTGATGTGACACATTTAGAAGAATTCTGTTCTCGTCATGTTGATCAATTACGAGCATCTGGTATTCGAAGAATTACTTTCTTAGTTGTTAAGACAGTGAGTTGGTGTTTTGTTACTTCTCTATTGTTTTTTTATTATTTTTAGTTACGCTATGTCAATGGAATCATGTATTCATTCAATAGCTCTTACCATACAAGATTAATAAATGAATGCTTATCTACAAAGCCTTTCCAAGTTATGTTAACCATTTCTAAGATTGTAATGATAGTCGGTAAAGTATTGTTTCATAAGATAAGTGGTTTTAGCATTCATTTCAAAGTTCCATTCTGGCTTCTATCCTAGAATGATACCATCAATGGTATTATATGGTTTCTGCACAATACTGGATATCCATTAGAGTTGGAATTTTGCAGACCATTGTATTCCGTTTCAGTAGTTTTAAAGTCTTATAGTATCTGTTTTATGTTACTTACTACTTCAACTGTTCTATTACTGTTTGTAAAGTTGGAAGTCACTAAATTCTAGTCTTAGCCATGTTGGTAGATACAGACTACTTGGTTGGGGTCCACGTGACTATCGTAACCAATGGTTGGAGACTGTGGGTAACATGGCTCAAAATCGATCAGAATGGTTTAGGTTTATACACTCGCTGTCTTCTTTTAAACCATCAAATTAAAATCACTTCATATCTTTCTTTCTACGAATTAATTCTTTCTTCTTGTACTATGTCCTTATATACAATCTTTCTTTTAAATATCACTACCACTATTGAATTGACTACTTCTATGTATTTGATGTTGATGTTGTTGTGCTAATGTGGTATGGCAACTTGAACCGATGACCATCTGTGCCTGGTCCTACGTTGTAACTGACTGACTGGAATCTATGATTATTGTTTCAATTTAAAATATCATAATCAATGTTTTCATAACATCAGTCTGATTCATCTCATATCTTGTCTGTTTTTATATTCATTAATATTTGTATCAGAAGGGGTTTTGTGAAGATTGTGGTAATTTCAACAGTTGAAATCATAAGTCAATTGAAGCTAGACCACCATGGAAAACGTGGAAGCACTGGATGAACGTTTCGTCCTATCGTCGGATTAGTAGTGGATTAGTTGAAGTTAGACATTAACACTGTTGGATACCGGCTCAGTGGTCTAATTGGTTAAGCGCCTGTCGCGAGACTGGTAGATCCTAAGTTGGAATCCCGCGACGCGGGGTCGTGGATGCGCACTTCTGAGGAGTCCCACAATAGGACGAAACGGTTGCTCAGTGCTTCCAGGTTTTCCATGATGGTCTAGCTTCAATTGACTCATGATTTCAAACGTTGAAATCATTAATAATTATTCATTTATTTATTTTTATTTTAAAAATTTCAGCGTGAATTCCCACGGTTGTATACTTTTCGTGCACGTGATAATTATCGGGAAGATCGTGTTTATCGGCATTTAGAACCAGCTTTAGCTTTTCAATTAGAATTAAATCGAATGAAAAATTATAATCTTGAACATTTACCTACATTAAATCGTCGTATGCATTTGTATTTAGGTTGTAGTAAGGTAATTCTTCTATATATATAAATGTTTTTTTTCATTTGTGATTGTAACTTCTCAGTTAGTACTTTTATTATGTAATCTGCTTTAAAACAATTACATAAGTGTGATAGAATCCTGCTGTCGACATGTTTTACCAACCGTAATGTGCAACTTTAATTTATGATACTGAAAAATTTCCACCTATTCGGTTTTAACCACTATTGACACTACACTTAAGCCCACAAATGCCCTGGTACGGTCGACAGTGAGGAGAGTTAGCACTACCACTCTAAATGCTCTCACATGGTCACTTGCTTACAACCACTGCCAGGGAAGTCCTACTCATCGCCTTCTTGCGGCATTACTGTTCTTTACGAAATTAAGAGGACGAAAAGCGAATGTCCGGTGCTTTAACCTGGTTGGTGGATATGGAGGATCCATCTAGGGGACTTGGGAAACCTTGATTCTAAACCAATGGCGTACATGGGCTCCAGTATCCTGAAGGACGAAATGGCGTTTGAACCTATTGTTGGTCACTGACTACCGTGTGACTGCATATTTTGACGTTTCTCCACTGCATTGTGGATTAGACAATTAGGTTGAAGTCTCCGGGTTTGGCCCCCTAAGAAAAACACCTGTTTTTGTTTCGGCATCCAGGCAGTATCCCAGCCCTTAAACAAATGGAATGATTTATGTGGTGCATATCTGTTTGATGCCTCCTTGTACCAATGTTTATGTACTTAAATAAATTAATTAATTAAACAACTACATCACCTTGCTAACATTGAAATGAAGAAAAAGCAACAAGATTCATAACATAAAGTGAATTCTTCCTATTTTGTGACTTGTCGTCAGAGTTTCATATAGTTACAATTTACAATCAGTAAAATAATTAAGAAACAATAGTTTAACTAAAGAAAAATAGAGTAGAGACCATCCCATTAGTAAACAATGCTGTTGTTAAATGGTTTTTGTGATGACTTAAAGATCCTGTTAATATCACGTGATAAAAATATCAGTCGTAATCATCTCAACAGTTATAACCTTGAGTGGATGTTAAGCCTTTATCGCTCCTTGAATCAGTTGTTTATCTCCGTATCTTGGTCATTGAATCCAGAACACTGTAATCAGCCTCCACCAAGCAAATATTATAATTCAAGCATACTTAGATTGTATACAAGAAGATCATACCGAATCAAATCAGCCAAAAGTGGCTGTAAGTAGGGAAGACTGAAGAATAAACTCGCAACAATTAATAGTATTAAATCATACAGTAGTAGTTAATAGGTCAAACGAATGCCTTTAAAAAAAGGGATATAAATATATGGTAATCTAGTCAATAATTATGTAGAGTATATATATATATATATACATAACTGTCCATAAATTAATCCTGCCAGATACTAGTCTTTTATTCCTTGTCGAATACAATAATTTTATCCGCTATGTAGATCGATGTTCGCTAATGTATTTGGATTTAACTTTCACTATACCCACTTCTTATGTAATCAACTAATACTTATTATAATTTTCCATAATGTTTCTAAATCCCAACAACCTGACTAACTAAATTCTGTCAAACATTTATCTTTAACTATATTACCCTTCTGTTTTATTTGAGACTGTTTTCTGTTAATGATAAGCCTTCAAATAAGGTGATAAATCCTTTTTTTTCTCAAATCATATTCTTTATTCAAATTGACTTTCCGGGGCTGCATACATTTTACATTGGTTCAATAATTGTAATGATAAATTTAAGTTTTTTGTTGATGTTAGACCCTATCGTGTACTTTCTGAAGACGCTGATAAAATGCAGAGTCTTTTGATTGCACTGAACAACAATACCAGAATGTTTGCGATGCACTTCTCCCTCTCTAAATGCAAGCTGTTACTTCAGGAATGGCCTGCGTCAACACCTGAACTATGGATAGGGAGTGAAGTAGTCGAACGTGTTGACGACTTCACTTATCTTGGAAGTCTGATCAGCCCTAATGAATTGGTGTCTGACGTAATCTCAGCAGGGATTCTAAAAGCTCATTTGACTTTTGCCAACTTACGTCACCTATGGCGAAGGCGAGATATCCGTCTACCAATTAAGGGACGAGTATACTGCGCGGCAGTTCGTTCTGTTTCACTTTACGGCTGCGAAACTTGGCCATTAAGAGTAGAAGATACTCGTAAGCTACTAGTATTTGACCACAGATGCCTTAGAAATATTCCTCGCATCTTCTGGGACCATCGGGTCAGTAATAGTGAAGTTAGCCGCGGAGTATTAGGGAATGATGGTAAATTAGTTGATGAGGTTATGAATCTTCATCGGCTGAGATGGTTAGACCACGTGTTACATATGCCTGAACACCGTTTACCACGACGCACAATGGTTGGAAGAAAGTTAGCGGTGGCCAAACCAAAACATGGTATCAGTGCTTGAACACACTTACATCTGATCTTAGCCATGTTGGTAGATACAGACAACTTGGTTGGGGTCCACGTGACTATCGTAACCAATGGTTAGAGACTGTTGGTGACATGACTCAGAATCGATCGATCAGAATGGTTTACGTTTATACACTCTCTGTCTTTCTTTAAACCATGAGATTAAAATCTCTTCATATCTTTCTTTCTACGAACTAATTCTCTCTTCATGTACTATGTCCTTAAATGCAATCTTTCTTTTATATATTGCCACCACTTAATTAACTAGTTGTATGAATTTGGTGTTGACGTTGTTGTATTAATGAGGTATAAAAACATGAACTGATGCCCATCTGTGCCTGGTCCCACGTTCTAGATGACGGACTAACTGACTATTGAATTCTTTCAATCGAGGTATCATCAAAAACATAAAACATTAATTTTTAATTATTTCTCTTTTTTTTGAATTTATATCATAGATAAATGGAAGAAAAGATGTAGTAGATTATCGTTTCTTTGTTCGTTGTATTATTCGTCATGCTGATTTAGTTTCACGTGAAGCTTCATTTGAATATCTTCAATCAGAAGCTGAACAAATTCTTTTAGAAGCAATGGATGCTTTAGATTTAGCCTCAGGACATCCTGATGCTAGTCGAACAATGGGAAATCATATATTTTTAAATTTTGTTCCTGTATTACTCTTAGAAGATATTAATAGATTAAAGTCAACAATTAGAAAAGTTGTAATGCGTTATGCTCGACGTTTTCTACGTTTACGTGTATCTCAAGTAGGTAAATTTATGATTAATACAGTATTACTAATATTTACTGTTTATTTATGTAATATAATTTATTGGGACCATTAACTAGTGATTAGTTATCTTGATGTTACATTGTGGATTTTCCATATTAGAGTTTCTTTATTCAGATGGGTTTTGTGGATATTATAGTAATTTCAATGGGTAAGATCATGAGTCAGTTGAAGCTAGATCACCATGGAAAACCTGGAAGCACTGGACGGTCGTTTCGTCTTATTGTGGGACTCCTTGGCTGTGCGGATCTACGTCCTCGCCCCCTGCGAGGTTCGAACCCAGGACCTACTGGTTTCGTGCGCGAACACTCAACCACTAGACCACTGAGCCGGCATCCAACGGTATTATTCAGTCAATAGACATGATCTTCTTAAAATTTCATTTTAATAAGTTTTAGTTTTTGTAGTTCGTATGGAATGTGACTTATAATGTCTCAGTAAACTTCACCATTGCTAATGTGCTCATCCATTGGTACAACAGATAACAATAGTTTACCGGACTTTGCTTCGATTTATACATATATGACGGAGTGACTATCTTTGTATACATAGTTTGAAAACTTTGACTACTTATGTTCTATAAAGGATCAAAATATGTCATCACCAATCGATAATGAACAAGCATACATATATGTTTTTGTTACATAATCTAATCTATCAAGTCAAATGAGATATTATCATTCAATTGTGCATTGGAATCTTTATGTGACTTAGAACAATGATGTCAACTATATCAACTGTCTTAATCGAAATATTCACTGTCCGTATAACCATTTCATGTTGCATCCAAATATCAGAAGAGTATCTATATAATAATTAAGGTTTGTTCCTGTCACAATCAAGTATTCAAACTCTATGATGTCGGAATATTTATTACATTCCCCTGTTTAAACGTTCAATCTAATTAAGTAGCAATTAAAGATCGTACTGTTTCTTTTTGAGACTTTGCACATTAATTCAATGTATATTCTTCTGATTTAATTTTTATAGGCAGAATTAAAATTACATATTCGATTTCATGCATCGGATCCTATTGTACCAATTCGTGTTATGCTTCGTGATGAACATGGTTATGATTTAGGATTAGATGTTTATCGTGAAGTATTAGATCCATTAACTGGTATTTGTATTCTACAATCGATAAGTCCACCGAATGGTAAATTAAATGGACATCCAACTGTTACAGCACATGAGAATAAAGATTTTTTTGAAGTTAAACGTTTTCAGGTAATTATCATTATTCATTTCAACTTTAGTTTTATATACCCTGTGGATTAATTTATATTTTTAGTAATTGTACAATATGACTATTGAATTTATGGGGTATTATGCATAGTTCACCTACATTTAATCATAGATGTCTTCATTTAAATAATACGTATATTTATGTTGATGATGTGTGTAATTCTTTCTGTGTGATATCGTAACCTCTTCTCTCATCTACCTTGATGAATACTCACGTAGGAGTGAACTGACAAAAAATGTAAAAGCTACTAAACGGTTAACTTTAGAAATCAACCTTATACGGAAATATGTAAACGAACCTAATCAGGTCCTGCGCGATGTGTTAAGAATGATCAGTGACGTTACTTGAATTTGTTAGTGTTTTAAATTAAGAGACCTCTCTAAGTTGATATATCTCAGTTATTTTAAAATAATAATCCAATCAGATCATTATGTTAAGGTTACAACTGGGAATATTTTTTTCAGTTGAAAGTATCATCTTAATCTTGATTATAGTCTAAGTAATTTGCGGCCTTCGAATGCCCTGATACGGTCGACGGTGGGGAGGGTTGGCTCTTCCTCTCCAAATTCTCTCACATGGCCACATGCATACAACCACTGCCAAGAAAGTCCTAGTAACTGCCTTCTCGCCGCATTACTGTTGTTTACGAAATTAAGAGGACGAAAAGTGAATGTCCGGTGCTTTAACCGGGTTGGTGAATGTGAAGGATCCATCTAGGGAACTTAGAAAACCCTCATTCCAAAGCAATGGTGTGCATGGGCTCCGGGACCCTTTAGGAACAAATGGCGTGTGAACTATTTGTTGGTGACCGGCTACAACGTTACTCCACTGCCTTGTGGATCAGACCTTCAGGTCGAAGGCTCGGGGTGTGGCCCCCTAAGAAAACCACCTGCTTAGGTTTGGGCACCCGGGCAGTATCACAGCTCTCATATAAATCGAATGATTTATATGGTGCATATCTATTTGATGACTCCTTGTACCCAATGTTTATGTGTTTAAATAAATAAAGTAATTTAGTGAATTGTGGAATTACCATTTTGAGATACAACTTAATTGATGCAAAGTGAATGTGTCGTTTTAATTTGTTTGTTTGTTTTTCTTAAAGAATATACACCATTTGTTAGGGACGTTAGATCCCCAGAACTCACTTGGGAAAGGACCTAATTTTGTAATTTTATTTAGAAAATTGGAATTTCTTTGTTTTCGCGCCAAAGACGCTCTTGTCACCTTCATGTCGTATTTCCCACTGGGAAATATCTTATTGGTTCGTTGCGTCTTTTAGTATGCTATTTGGTAACTCTCCCTAAGGACAGTTTTGCATTGTATATATACGTTTTGGATTGTGTTTGTTGTTATCGCTCGTTCCTGACTGTTTTGCAGAATATACTTCCTATTCCAGGCTTGTACTTCTCCCTATAGTTAACGGGGCTGGAACGCATCAAATAGCTAGCTTACTTGTCTTTAATCACCGAGTCTTGTTTGTCGTTCGCCGATTAAATGAACTCGTCATAGCTTCAAACCTTACACCATTGATAATGAAAAGTTGTTTGTTGTTTTTTTCTTTATGTTACAGGCCAGAAAATTTAACACCACTTATGTTTATGATTATCCAGCATTATTAGCTCAAGCTTTAACTGGTGTATGGCAAAGTTATTGTCCTTATAGAAATCAAAAACATCATAATCATATTAGAAATGATTCATTAGATAAACCAATATCTTATTTAAATAATAATAATAATGCTTTATCAAAATTTCATAATTTAATCCCTTTAAATATACCAGAGAATTTAATAATTACATGTACTGAATTATCATTAGATAAACATGGTAATTTACAACCAAATACAAATACTTTAGGTACAAATGAAGTAAGTGAATACTATTTTGATATTAATCATGTTTATATTCTTTATCACTGATTGAAATCATGAGTCAATTGGAGCTAGATCACTATGGAAAACCTGGAAGCACTGGTCCTGGGTACGTATCTCGCAAGGGGCGAGGTCGTGGATGCGCACTGCTGAGGAGTCCCATACTAAGACGAAACAGCCGTCCAGTGCTTCTAGGTTTTCCATGGTTGTCTAGCTTCAATTGACTCATAATTTCAATCAGTGAAATTTCTAAAAATCTCCACAAAACCCCTTTTGATTACATTCTTTATTGCCACCGTTTTTTTCTTTTTTTTCATTCATATTTCTATTCTCCTGTATTAATGATTGTCATTCAATAGAAAATACTTAATTATATAATGAGTCTATCACTTATGAACAACCTTTGAATGACGCTAAACTAATCTTGAGAGATGAAGGTTATAAACCAGTGTAAGGAATTCGAATTATGATTTATAGTTGATGATTAAGGTTAAGAATTAGATTTAAGGGTTTTCATCACGAATTGACTTCATCTATAATGCCATGAATCTATTTAGTTAAATGGTTGAGTGAATTTCTCGCTAAAATCCCAAACTTGTCATCTTATACTTGATTGCTTCGTTTTATGCGTCGTTGGTTCGGTCGATAATTCACTGTTCTTTAATTGGCGTTATCATTACGTTATACATTAATAGGACAGAAGGTCACAAATTATAACACATTTGATTATACATTTTACTTGTTAACGTTTCTGTGACAAATTTTCAGTTTCGATAATTTAATAAGAAGACGAAGATTATCAGAACAGTGTGATGATATATTAGCGCAGTACATTTCAAACAATCTGATCACACATATACTTGTTATGAACATTTATATATAAAAAATAAAAGGTCAACTAGACAGGAAACGGGGTAAGAGGAGATAAGGATAATGATAAGAGTAATAATAATAATAATGTGAACACAAAGCGAAACCTAATCACTCTGGATAATAAGTCAATATTACCAGGGTAGGTTTAAGGTAAGAACAAACTGTTTTTGAACACATAAAGGGGGCTTGAAATTTCGTATAGTTAAGGCTACAGTAAACCCTTAGTATACGGCCTTTGACACTTGTACAACACCACAAAAGTCGAGTTAAGATCAATCTTATGACCTGTTTCAATTATGTGTTTAGCAATAGAGGATATAGTGGCACTGGACCATAACCACACAATCCTCAAAGCTGAACACGAGCCAACTCGGAAAATAGATATTCAATATTTAACGCGGAGAAATACCTAACGCTGGAGAAGGCGGGAATAAGGAGTTGAATTAATTGGAGTTGATCGAATGGGATGGCTCGGCCATGCAGGCGTGGTCCCTGCGGAATATTACCTTATATCTTTTATTCATATTAAATATATTGTTCTTTCTCTAACCTAAGCTTGTTCTCCATCATGTTTTGGTAATTGTTACGATACAGTGAGTTGGTGTAGACGATGATGTGACTTCGATGTAAGATCTTATAGATTAGGCAGTTATATCATGACAAATCTACAATTTTAGGATTAGGTCTATTATTAGAGCAGTACTTATATCATAGTAGACCATAATTCTACAAGGATGATGGATTTTATCCTCTACTGTTATTGGATCACTTGATTTTATTTGTTTGTGCAACCACTTTGATGCATGTTCACACACCCTAATTTTGAGATCACGATGGCTCCTCCCTATGTATCTGTAACTACACACACCATTAAATTAGTAAACACACGACCTCGCCCCCTGCGAGATTGGTACCCAGGGCCTACTGGTTTCGCGCGTGAGCACTTAACCACTAGGTCACTGAGCCGGCATCCAATGGTGTTAATGTCTAACTTCAACTAATCCACGAAATTGAGCGACACATCCACCATTGTCTTCAGTGTGTTACTATCTCACAACAGACCTGGTTAAATTCCACTGGTCACTACTTCTCACTAGAACTCCAGAATTTACCTCTTGAAGCCAGTCACTAATGAGCATATGTTGATTAATATCAAATGGATTTTATGGCTATTATAGTAATTTTAATGGTTAAGATCATGATTCAATTGAAGCTAGACCATTATGGAAAACCTGGAAGCACTGGACGGCCGTTTCTTCCTATTTTGGAACTCCTCAGCAGTGCGAATCCACGACCTCGCTCCCTAGCTTCAACTGGCTCATGATCTTGACCATTGAAATTAGTATTCATACTTGTTAGTGGACATGTATTATGTACTTACCTTTGGAATGTTTCATCTTTATTGATTTTGTAGGAAGTTAAGCTATAATTACATTTGGGGATCCAGTGATATTTATTATTGTTCAGTTGGGTTTTTTTGTGTGTTTTCTTTAAAAAGTGTAATTAATTGTTTTCATTGTATTATAGATTGGAATGGTTGTCTGGTATATGGTATTACGCACACCAGAAACTCCATCTGGTCGTCCAATTATTGTTATTGCAAATGATGCAACAGTTAAAGCTGGATCATTTGGTCCTGCAGAAGATTTAACATTCCATCGTGCTAGTCAACTAGCTCGATATTTTGGTATTCCACGTATTTACTTAGCATCGAATACTGGTGCACGAATAAAAATTGCTGAAGATATTAAAAGTGTATTCAATATTGCTTGGATTGATGCTGAACATCCTGAAAAGGTTTGTTATTACATTAAGATCTCGATCATTCAATTCATAGTTGTTCTTATGGCCTATGTAAAAGTTTTCATTACCATATTTTATTGAATGAAATGATTTTGTTCTTTTGTTTATTGTATAAAACAGAGTTTACCACAGCTTCCTGTAAAGGAATATCTTAGTGTGTGTGTGTGTGTTTGTACTGAGATCGAAGCTTTGAATAATGTATTCTTATATGATGACTATGAATACTGTTACTTCGTATTACTCAAATGGATACTGAATAACAAAGATAGTTAACTATCTGTTTTACATAAAACAACCACCTTTGGTCATACTTGAGAATTATTCCAAACAATTTCAATAATTCCCCATCTCTAGGTGTACTTTACTTCTTATCAACCTTCTTTTCAACCTTTTGTCGAACATCATTGTATTACTACAAGTGAAATCATTTTCGTTAGCATCCCAGCAATTGAAATTAGAAACAGCTTCAACGTTTCACTTGGCACTCAAATCTAAGCTTCTTCAGGAAAATAATCACATCTAGAATATAAATCAGCTTTATAAAACAACTATATACTAAACGATTGTTCAGTCATATTAGGGTATTGAATGTTAAACACGTTAATGTGAATGAATCATTCATTGTGAGATATGCTGAAGTTATAGTAAACAGAAGCTATATATAAGAGTGTATTCAGATTTCATATGAAAAATGTCATTAAATAGATATAAAACTGTTTGCTATGTTCAGGGATAATATTAATTAATCTGATTGATAGAAACAAAGTAAATGTATCAAATCATGCACGCAATGAGAATAGATGGATGTACACATTTTGCAATAGTTGAATTCATGAGTCAGTTGAAACTAGACCACCATGGAAAACCTAAAAGCACTGGACGACCGTTTCATCCCATTGTCGGACTACTCAGCAGCCTCGCAAGATTCGAACTTAGTACATATCAGTCTCGTGAGTGAACGCTTAACCTCTAGACTACTGAACCGGCCGGTATCCAACGGTGTTACTGTCTCTAACTTCAACTGATTCACGAAATCGAGAGACACATCCATCATTGTCTTCATGATCTCAACTATTGAAATCACTATAAGATCCACAAAACCCCTTTCTGATATACATTATTGTTGTTCTTTTCAACAAACTATTTGTTGAAGGCATATTCAAACTTATTAGTTGATTAAAAACATATTTAGACTAATAGTTCATATTAAATTATTCTATTGTGTATTAGAACTATTACCATCTTGATAATGTTTTGCAATTGAATAACTGTGAACATCATCTTTGTGATGCAGGCACATTCAGCTGAAGAATCCTAAATAGGACGAAACATGCGTCATGGATTCCATCATTGCTTAAAATGTTTATTATTATTATTATTATTTATAATAAATATGTACTTATAACCCTTTTTTTTAAACCTCATTTCTTGTTATCAACACTTTCTCTTTTTAAAGGGATACAAATATTTATATTTAACACCAGATGATTATTATCGTTTTAAATATGATGAATCTGTGAATTGTGAAAAAATTGAAGAAAATGGAGAGATACGTTTTAAAATTATCGATATCATTGGTAAGTTATATAGAATGGATGTTTTTTTTTTTTATTTCTTCATTTAACTGTATCCATTAAAAATTCTTGACCTTGTTTACTAGTGATTACTTCATTTACTTACTTACTTCCGTTTGTGACTTCCAATCGAGGATTGGCCACCGACCAGCATTGTTCAACCCACTCTGTCCTCCGCCTTCCTTTCCAGTTCTGTTCAATTTTTGTTCATTCTTCTTATATCTGTCTCCATTTCTTGGCGTAATGTGTTCTTTGGTCTTCCTCTTTTCCTTTGGCCTTGAGGATTCCATGTGAGGGCTTGTCTTGTGACGCAGTTCGGTGCTTTCCTCAATGTGTGTCCTATTCACTTCCAGTGCTTCTTCCTGATTTCTTCCTACATTGAGATCTGGTTTGTTCTCTCCAACAATAGGTTGTTGCTGATAGTGTCCGGCCAACGGATCCGAAGTACTTTACGTAGACAACTGTTACTAAACAATTGTATCTTCTGGATGATAGCTTTCGTAGTTCTTCAAATTCCCGCCCCATACAATAGAAGAGTTTCGACATTTGTATTGAAATTACTGACTTTGGTGTTGGTTGACAGACAGTTGTTTTGAATTGCAGATGTTCATTAGTTGTAGATGTGCTGCTGTTGCTTTTCCGATCCGCGCCTTCACATCCACTGTGTTCATCAATGATGCTGCCCAAATATGCAAAGGTTTTTACATCTTCCAAATCTTCTTTGTCAAGTGTGATTCGACCGTTGAATGATGTGTTGTATCGGAGAATCTTGCTTTTTCCTTTGTGTATGTTGAGACCTACTGCTGCTGAGGCTGCTGCTACACTGGACGTCTTCTCTTGCATTTGTTGTTGCGTGTGCGATAGAAGAACCTGATCACCTGCGAAGTCTAGGTCGTCCAGCTGCATCCTAGCTGTCCACTGTATCCCATGCTTCCTCTCAGACGTTGACGTCTTCATGATCCACTAGATCACTAGGAGAAAGTTAGTAGTGATTATGAAACAATAATTATACATGAATGATTTATGGTAGAAAATGAAAGAATTTCCAATCAACATGTATATTTGTTTTTATGTTACTAGTAAAAACTTTTCGAAACTGATTATAAGTTCTATCTTGAATTTTCTAAAAAAAACCTCATTAAGATGCTCGTCCATACAGCACCGTGTCATCTTTGTTTGTGAACTTTTATGTGATCATAAATAACTTTATTAATATTTTAGAGTAATCGCTTTACAGGGTTGTTGCTTTGCTTCATTATTCAATCACCCTTGTAAACGTTATTATCTAAATTTCAAAGGCGGTGTTTGAAATCAATGAAAGCAATAAAAAGCCTCAACTACAGTTTATTAGCAGATAGCTCAGACACCAAGTGAACTTGAAGCAGAGATGCGAATATGTAGATGCGAGCTAATACATAGACAAATTTATAGTCAGATCACATAAGGGCGCAGAAAGGCAAAGCAAACGCTAAAACTAGAATTTGAGTACATATATACATGGGAAGGTGAATGAATCATTTTGCAACAACTAAGATAATTAACATTTTAGTTAGATTGTGTTATGTTATCTAGCGGTCGTAACGGTACAGTGAAATACACGAATTGTTACTGTTCTAATAACACTGTCTATTAAGTAAGTTAATAAAAGGGGCTTAACCAGAATTAATCATAATCGAAATCGGTTGTAGAATAGTTGTTATATTCGTATTGTGACACACTTTTCAAAGCTTCCGAAATTTTCAATTGGGATCTTATCATCCAATGGCATTATTCAATAACACTATTCGCCACATTGGCAGTTTGGGAAATAAAACATTTTTAATAGATTTGATACACAACAACATAAATAACAACGAAATATTAACTCGTCTCGTGATTCCTCCAAGTTATTCATCGGAATTTCTCCACAGTAGTCCACATACTGGCGAGACTATAATTTATGGACGAACCAATCAGATTTACAATAACAGGTTTGAGATTTTGGCGCAAAATTCATTCATCCATCTGGCTAAATAGAATCCTGGTCTTATAGCTGGTGTCAGTTCGTGATGATAACCCTAAATCTAATTCCTAACCCAAACCATCAACTATTGATCATAATCCTCATTCTTTAAACTGCTTTATAACCCTCACTTAGCCCTAGTAAGTAGGTAGACACTCTCAAGTCACTTAGCATCGCTCGAAGGTCGTCCATAAATTACAGTCTCACCAACATACGGTTGTTTCATCTTAACAATTAAATGTTTTCTAAATAGTTCATGATACCTTTCATTGTTGAATTATTTTTAATATAATCGATCTATAATCAGTTGTTTTTACATATGCGCTATGATTTTCAATTTGTTTTCTCATTCTCGATTGCCTCATCTTTGTTATGAAACTTCATTTCAAAGAGTCATCATACTTTTCTGCATTTATAAACCTTCGCATCCTAATGAATTGTTTTATTCACTTAGTTTCTATCATATGTTATTGATTGAAACTATATCGATCTTCATCTTAAGTGCACCATTGACCTGAAATTCTTTACTGTCATCTAGAATTTCCGATATTTTCCCTAATAAATTTGTATCCGTAATTTTATCTACTGGAAGTCAACATCAGTGTTATCCAGAAAAAGACTGAAAGTCTCTTAGTTATACCATGAAGCTCAATGGATGAAAAATCATCATTCAGTCGATCCAGATTCGCTAAATGATTTCTCGTAGTTTAAATACCATTTCATGGAATTTCACTTCAACTGTAGTCATTATAATGAAGACTTCAAGGAAAACCATTATTTCATCGTTGTTTATCCCGTAACCTTATGATCTTTTCATAGAAACGTGTTAGAAAATCAAGATAGTGATCACATAGATCGTTCAGGTTACTTGATATTTCATAAGTTATCGAATCAAATCTTGCCCAGTAGTGATTCATTCGAATTTCTTTTTAATCAATTAGTTTTCTCTTCATTTGAATTTTGAGTACTTTGATGATGTAATTTTTCCTGTGGGATACATCATTTATAGTTGGTACTCTTTACTGTTTTGAATAGAACCTTGATTTTACTGATATGTGCATATCATCATGTGTAATCTATTGAATATGATAGCTGATTGTTTAGAGTATCCTAAATTCCAATCATCAAATCTCAATATAAAACCCTCCTGCGAGTTATTTCACTTCCAGTAATCAATTATCAATAGAAATCACACACATTATTTGTATTAGCATCAGTTCTACAAAATTATCTGAAATTATGTGAGTTATATTGTATAATTTAATACTACACATAAGTCAGAATGGGTTTTGTGGAGAGTTTTAGAAATTTCACAGATTGAAATCATGAGTCAGTTGAAGCTAGACCACCATTGAAAACCTGGAAGCACTGGACGGCCGTTTCGTCCTAGTATGGGGCTCCTCAGCAGTGCGCATCCACGATCCCACACCACACGGGGCTCGAACCCAGGACCTGTCGGCTTCGCGCGCGAGCACTTAACCACTAGACCACTGAGCCGGCATCCAACGGTGTTAATGTCTAACTTCAACCAATCCACGAAGTTGCGCCACCGTACACCATTGTCTTCAATGAGTTCCTATCTCACAACAGATCTGGTTGAACTCCACTGGTAATGGCTTCTCACTAGAACTTCGGGATCGTGGATGCGCACTGCTGAGGAGTCCCATATTAAGACGAAACGGCCGTCCAGTGCTTCCAGGTTTTCAATGGTGGTCTAGCTTCAACTGACTCATGATTTCAATCTGTGAAACTACACATTAGTGTTGGGTAATTTTATTGATTGATTTATTTCATTCTATTACATTGTAGGCAAAGAATATGATATGTCTGCGGAGAATCTTCGTGGTTCAGCAATGATTGCTGGTGAAACATCTGCAGCGTATGATGATATATTCACTATTACAATAGTTACAAATCGTGCTATCGGTATTGGAGCTTATTTAACACGTCTTGGTCAACGAGTTATTCAAGTAAGTAGTTCTGTTTACAGATTTTAAGATGATAATTGGTTTTTCAGTTGTGTGTGTGTGTGTTTTTTAGATATTCTTTCGTTCTGATTTTATTGTTTCTTCTAAATTACAGGTGAATAATTCACATATTATATTAACTGGTGCAATGGCTCTTAATAAACTTCTTGGTCGTGAAGTATATTCTAGTAATAGTCAATTGGGTGGTGTACAAGTTAGTGATTAAATATATCATGTTATACGTTTGTTCTATTCAATCCTTAACTGTATTTTCAGTTTCTAGTCAATAGTTAGTCAGTTTAAGGGAAGATAGAGAGTGTATACACCAACACCATCATGATCGATTCTGAGCCATGTCACCCAGAGTCTTTAACCATTGGTTACGATAGTCACGTGGATCCCAACCAAGTAGTCTGTATTTATCAACATGGCTTAGACTGGAAGTTAGTGACTTTAATGACTGATGCCACGTTTTGGTTTGACCACCCTTAACTTTCTTCCAACTATCCCCAATGGTTAACAGATTCATTCATAAAAGTAGTCTACAATTTCTAACAAAACTTAAAACAAACAACCATAAAATTCAAGTGTTGTCTTTACTTTTTTAAAAAAATGAATATTCTTATTTCATTTTATCAAATCATTTGTATTATGGACTACATGATGGAGGTATATGTGAATTGTATACGTTATCTCATTAGAGATAGATTTATGAATGTAACATGTTGTCCTCTAAGATGTAACTGGAGGATGACAGTTAAGGTTCTTGATAAAAAGAAACATAAAAGTATCTCTGCTTGTTAGTAGGTTCTTATTAATCCAGTTTATTACATAGTTTATATGTTGAAATTATATTACTGCATATTAGAAAGTTAGAAAACGTGAATTGTTTCTTTGAGGCACATATTTACACAGTGGATGCGTATTACATCGTATGTAACAACTTATGAATTATAGTTATGACATTCAGGAATAAGTTTGCATATTACGGAAAAATCAGGTTTGGTTTAAGACCATTAATTATTTCGCTTTAGTAGTCGTACCTCATTGGTTTTTTTAAGTTTTTGACTTGATGTTTGAAGAGGTACCTAAAAAGGAAATTGGATTAGAGGTGGTCTTAGTGACCTGAGAGCGTGACCGCAGTGCCCAAGGGACAACTGCTTGAGATCGGCCACACACGACCTTTTTATGAGTAATTTTCGTGTTAGCTCCGTACTCGTTAAGACCTTACCGCTGGAGACGGATATCCGTGTGATAAGGGGGCGAGGTGTGCATCTTTAGGGTCGACCTTTTCTAACCCCACCCCTCGTTGTGGGAAGGCAGAATCGCTGTCATTCTAATTGTCTGAAGGAAACATCTTACTGTTGTCACACTTCTGTACAGTCAGCAGTATGACTTGGCCTTCGGACCTTGAATTTGTTGCTTTTAGTGTAACCGTTCCTTAACCGACCTGTCTGACATGGTAGGACGTTGAGGAACGGTTGTTCCAGTCAGTATAGCTCGATTGCTTCATCACGATAGGCAAGCCCGACCACCACGTCAAGGTAGCAACAACGAACGGGCATTTTTGAAGATATAAAATTATGTTAAGAATGTTTATGTCATACACTTTAATCAATGATTAAACATCCTTTCGATCAACTAAGATCACTTTGTATGATGACTATACTTTCATCTTTTTGAACAGTTGTCTTCTGAAAATAAACTGACTGTAAAATAATTTACGTACTGAACATTCATAATTTGAATCTTTTAAGCGTTATTTAATTCATGTATTAGATAGTTGGAGATAACTAGTAGTAGGAAGCCTTGTTCAATGTTGATTTCTTGCTAGTTGGTACTTTTCAATGTCCAGAGTGAGTTCTTAATGTTATGGATAAGATGAGTATTTGTATCACTCAGTTTCATACACACAGAAACTTGACCAAATGAACTTTTCAGACTGTAACCTTGATCAATGCCATTTTTTGCCTGGTATGTAGTGCTCTACAATTTTTTTTTAGCAAATTACATTATGAAGTTGTTTATTTTTCATAAACAATGAAATATGTTTCGACAACTGTTAGTTAAGGGCCTAGTGATCATTTTTGTTCCAAATAGATATCAACATAACTACTATTCAAAACAAAGGATCAAAATAACGTAGCATATGGTACAATGACTTCAACATGTGTGTTTTTCCGTAGTAAATTTCAATAATTGGTAGCAAATAGGTATCACAACGTATGGTCTGTTTTCCTATGTCTCTTGCTTGGAAGTAATGTCATGTAAATACTTACTTTACTTTACTTACGTTTTTCTTGTGAGTTAGTTTTCTACGAGATGGGGTCGCTAATCTCATGTCCAACCCTCCTCCTTTATCCGGGCTTGGGACTGGCAGTATCCCCAGAGGGGCTCCAGGCGGAGTTAATGTTATGTAGATACTATACTTAAATTTGATTAAAAACTTTATAACTGTGAAAAATATCGATTTACTTGGTATTGTTTATGAATGTATCATAAATTATTTTGTTTTCATTCAATTTCCTCATTTATATTTATATATTTAGGTGATGGCAACTAATGGTGTCTCTCATTTAGTTGCATCAGATGAACTCTCTGCTTTACAATTAGCTATTGAATGGCTTAGTTATATACCTCAACGTCCAAATGAAACATTTTCTGTTTTATATAAACCAGTACAAATTGAACCAGGACATAATTTCAATAGAAATAATTTAGCTAAAATAGAAATTTCATCACAATTAAAAGTTCATCAACCGAAAGTGAATAAACGAACTGATTTTTATTTACCATTTGATCCTATTGATAGAATTGTTGAATATATACCTAGTCGTGATCGACCAAATGATGATCCTCGATGGATGTTCACTGGTATTATGAGTAAGTAAGCATAGAATTACATTTGTTATTATTTCTTAATTTTAATTCTATTCTAAGATTTGTTACTCTTCATGGAGGAACATAGGCCGCCCACTAGCACTCTCTATTCAACCATGTTCCAAGAAATCTTTTCCAGCTCTTTCCAGTTGTTATTCATCCTTTTCATATTTGAACCAAGCTTCACATATTCCAATTAAGGGGTTTTCGGGTTATTACACTAACTTTCATATATATAATGTAGCTGAAAATCGACTACATAAACATTTGCTCGACGAGTTCTAGTACTTTTATTCACTTTTTCCGTTCATTTAGAGGATAAGTTCTATATACTAAAATGTAATGGTCACCATAGATTTTATTTCACTCCCTAAATTTTTACCATCATCATGGTTTTCATTTGAAATATGTCAGTCTATATTTCACTAACATAATGATGATAGCAGACAGTTGTGGATACCTCTAAACACTTATAATGAAGTCCTTTTAATGATACTTACGCTCTGATATGTTGAAGTCGCCCACAAGTAAAACGTGAAACCTACCGAAAGTGCTAGATATATACCACACAGCGAAGAGTGTACAAGTTGCACATAACCTTGGTTTTTTTTCTAAAACTTGTTCGCGGTATCCATGCTCTTTTTCTTTTACTATAAACAGGTTCTCATTTCGAGGCATTTTGTAAGTCCTCCAGTAAACAGTCTTCGTCATCTGACCAACAATTTGAAAATGCAAATACCGATCATTGGATATCAGGATTTTTTGACTGGGGAACATGGCAAGAAACATTGTCATCATGGGCTGCCGGAGTTGTAACTGGTCGAGCACGTTTAGGTGGTATCCCCTGTGGTGTTATCACAGCGGAGACAAGATCTGTTGTTTGCCGTGTACCTGCTGATCCGGCTAATTTATCCTCTGAAGCACAAATTGTTAATCAAGCTGGTCAAGTATGGTATCCTGATTCAGCGTATAAAACTGCACAAGCTATTGCTGACTTGTCACGTGAACATTTACCTTTATTCATTTTCGCCAACTGGCGAGGATTTTCTGGTGGGATGAAAGATATGTATGACCAAGTAAGCTGACTAACTGAGTCTTATTTATAATTATCGGTATATATCTATGACCCTACCTGTTATCAAACTCAGAACATACAGGTCCCTTGATAATCGATTAACTTTCCGATCACTAAATCTGCGTCTGTCGCTTTACATTTCTAAATTCTAAATCGATTCGTGATATTGACCAATAATCTTTCAGCACCATTAGTCAGTTCCATGAGGTTAACTATGTAGTTTAATGATCTACGTAAACCACCTGTAATCATAAGGAGGCATTTATATTTTCACGAGCAGTCACTGCATGTTGAGATTAGCGGTAGTTGGTCATGTGTAATACATGTCCCAATGACTCCAGTCTGTAAAGATCCTCTATTTTAGCATACTTGAAAGTGTGAAATTTCCAGACATTATAAATGATGTGAAGTTAATAGATTACGCTGTTTGTGAATCAATTGTATACATATACTGTTGCTAATCTCCAGTCGAAAAGAAAAAGAAAATTTTCTGCTCAAATATTCATAAGTTGATAAATATGATAAAAGAGCATAATATTTTTGAATGCTTAATGAAATAGTGTTTGTTGATCGAAATCTTAAAAGTGTTATTAACCAATTGGTATTCTTAACTACTGTCCGTTGGTTAGTTACTTCGACTAATGGTTGGTTGAAGATAATCGGCTGGAAACCTTTCATCTTTGTTTTGAGCTAGGTAACAATAGTCATCAAGGCGTACCTGCAATTTTCAGAGGACTAACATTACTTGTAATGTTCGAACCCGCCTTACCTAATCTCACAGTCTGTGATGTCATCTTGAACAGCAACTGACCTCTCGTAGTACTAAGACTAACACATGTGATCATTGATTAGCAACAAATGTCTTACTTGTTTAACCCTGAGTAGTGATCGAATTTTCTTGATTAGTCAAAGTGCGACTAATTACTAAAACTAGAGACCACATTTCAACTTGATCAATAGGTTTCGTTCAACACTAAGGAATAGACAAACAAGTTACTAACAATCAATTATCACTATGATTTGTTTTCACTGAATATTCTAACATAAGTTCAATATGAAAATCTTAAACCAAGGAAAGAAATACTTCTCTAGTGCTGCTTGCTCTCTTGGAATTTCAATCATTCATCAAACTATAATGTCAATTTTCAACAAAACCTCATAATATCATCTAAACTCATTGTCATGGAATGTTTTTAAACTAAATTACTGAAACTATATTTTCAGGAAATTCATATGTAATCAACTCATTCGGCCCCCCCACGTCTCTCTCTCTCTTCTCTTCAACCCACCCCCATTACTCTTTGTAATCACTTAAATTAATTTAATTGCTATTTCATGTTTTATTTGGTGTTATTATGTAATAATATCCTGTTTTATTTTTCTATGTTCTCTGTTGTTGATAAGGTAAAAAAAAAGCAAAAAGAATAGGTTGGAGCTGGTTATTAATAATAATTCATAAACATGATTATTGTTATGAATAGTAATAGGGAGGATTTTAAGGAAATCTCTCATTCTATTGAATAACATTCATTGAATAGTATTTTAAGTTTACCTTATTATGTTTTGTTTCATCTTTTTTGTTGTTGTTGTTGTTATCTACCAGTTGCTCAGATTAATTACAGTGTAACTTGTTTTTATGTATATAAACATAGATCAAGTTCATAAAATACAGTGGTCTTGAGTGCTGTTAGAGGTATATGAGGGCGGTTATTACCTCCCGGTTGCCCACACCGTGGAAAGGTTCTTCTGGAGGTACCTGGAAGGGAAATTGGACAAGAGGTGGTCTTAGTAACCTGAGGGCGTGACCGCAGTACCCAAGGGACAACTGCTTGAGATCGGTCACACATAACCTTTTTATGAGTAATTTCTGTGTTAGCTCCGTACTTGTTGAGACCTTACCGCCGGAGACGGATATCCGTGGGATAAGGCAGCGAGGTGTGCATCTCCAGGGTCGATCTTTTCTAACCCACCCACCCCTTCTTGTGGGAAGGCAGCATGGCTGTCATGCTGGTTGTCTGAAGGAAACACCTCACTGCTGTCACACTTCTGTACAGTCAGCAGTACGACTTCGCCTTCGGACCTTGAGTTTGCTGTTTCTAGTCTTACCGTTCTTCAACCGACCTGTCTGACATAGTAGGACGTTGAGGAACAGTTGTTGCAGCCAGTATAGCTCGATTGGCTCATAACGATAGGCAAGCCCGACCAACACGTCAAGGTAGCAACTAATGGGATTATATCTCATTTCACCTGTTTTAATAATTGTTATGCTCTAATAAATGTATTGTTATGCGTATTAACTTGTTAGTGCCCTTTGACGTCCTTTTCTTCCCCCCCCCCCACTTAATCATCTCATTTCTTTCCCTCCTTAATATTTTCAATTGCTTGTTTCCATTATTGTTCAACCAGTATTCTGTATTATAAACATTCATAACTAGATAATATTATTTTACGTTAGTTAAGTGTTCGACGGTTAATGTAGTTAGATTGTAGGTTCGAATCCTGTTTTACTTTTGTTCAGTATTATTGTACAAATAATGCAACTGAAGTCCGAATACATAAACTTGTACATAGCAAACGAACTACATGAGCGACATAACACATATATAGATTTACGTAGATTGAAGATTAATGGTCGAGATATTTATATAAGGTTCAAAACTTTATTTTTAAATATCTAACGTACCATGATATTCCATTAGTCATAGGAGAAATGTTGATTTGAATATATATGAACTGTTGACTTGCCTTGTTTTCGAATTCTCTGTTCTAACACTGCAGTAGCTAAGCGGTTCGAGTTGATTGGTTAGACGAAGTTATACATGATATGTACGCATTGGATTTAGGTTAGATCGGGGTAACAAACTCGGTTGAATGAATCATTCTCCTTCAATTTGATGATATTTCCCATGAAGTTAGAATTCGCGTTACATTTGCTCTTAACATCCGAGATTAGTTAGCGTTTTCGAACTAAGATTTACAGTTGCACCTTACGAACTGACGTTAGTTAGATAGCCATCAAAACTGGGGGGGGGTTTAGACATCTAATTATTGTAGTACTGAACTATTCAGTTATCCACATCCAAAGAATCTTGTGATACTTTGTAACAATTGTCCAGTACTCTCCAATAGTTTTCTCATTAATGTTAGTCATTTAAGTAGAATTACATAAATGAACATTACTTCTTTATATAGACAATCATGAAGAGAGTTTATTTGTTGCAATGATCGTACTGGTTTATTCATCATCAAAATTTTCCTTGAAACTAAGGCCAAGTCAGAATTTGAGTCATTTATGTGGTTTCATCTATTCTTCAATTACTACTTTTGTTCAATTTCTGTTGTTACACATTTCTTTGTAAACTTTGATCATTATTAACTTATATTACATTTTAAGGTATTAAAATTTGGTTCAATGATTATTGATTCATTACGTCGTTACACTAAACCAGTTTTTGTCTATCTTCCACCAAATTCACAATTACGTGGTGGTGCTTGGGTTGTAGTAGATCCAGCTATTAATCCAGATTTTATGGAAATGTACGCTGATCCAATATCATCACGTGCTGGTGTTCTTGAACCTGAGGGTACAGTTGAAATTAAATATCGACAAAAAGATTTAATTGATACTATTAATCGATTAGATGATTCATGTAAATTATTATTAAAAGAATTAAATCATTTAAATGAGCATACAAACAATTTGTCAATGAATAATGATCAACAATACAGTACAAAATTATTGAATATTTCCATAGAAGAACATCGTCAACAACTTCGTACTGCATTAGAATCTAGACAACAAGAATTATTACCATTTTATCAACAGGTTAGTTGTTGTTTTTTTTTTTGAATGTTTTAATTTTCATCGAAATATTTCTTGTAACTTTTATTCAAAACATTGAAATAAATTTTATATCTATCTAACATATATTGCTGGCGTCTGCTGGGATCACCGGGTAAGTAATAGTGAGGTTAGACGCAGGGTATTAGGGAATGATAGTAAATCAGTTGATGAGGTTGTGAATGTTCATCGACTGAGATGGTTGGGCCACGTGTTACGTATGCCTGAACACCGTTTACCACGACGTGCAATGCTAACCGGTGTTCGGGATGGTTGGAAGAAAGTTAGGGGCGGCCAAACCAAAACTGGGCATCAGTGCTTGAAGACACTAACTTCTAGTTTGAGCCATGTTGGTAGATGCAGACTACTTGGTTGGGGTCCGCGTGACTATCGTAACCAATGGTTGGAGACTCTTGGTGACATAGCTCAGAATCGATCACAATGGCGTCGGTGTATACACTCTCTGTGTTCCTTTAAACCATGAGATTAAAATCGCTTCATATCTTTCTTTCTACGAACTAATTCTTTCTTCCTGTACTATATCCTTATTGCAATCTTTCTTTTATATATTACTACCACCTCTAAATTAACTACTTTTATGAATTCGGTGTTCATCTTGTTGTGTTAATGAGGTATGTCAACTTGGACCGATGCATATATGTGCCTGGTCCTACATTGTAGCTGACTGACTGTATTATATATTGCTTAATTTTTACAGGTCATTGAAGGTTATCTTCTGATCTTTCCATAATTAATCTAAACACTTAAGAACAAAAAAAGAAGGTATCAGAAAAATTGTAATGATAATATGATTGTAAATGAATATAAAAATGGGAAAAATATGATCAGATAAATCAATAAAATAAATAACAAGATAACCACAACCCATCAGTGATAGATGATAGTAAAACTCATTAAAGAATAAAAAAAACTTACCGGGTTTACCTGGATAATAAAGTAAATTAAGACTGAAACTTACTTATACAATATAAACTTATTCTTTTATAATATATATATATATATATATAGGGGGGTGGGAGAAGGATGAAGGGGGAATTATGTAATAAGGTTGGTTGTTTTAATTAATTTTGACACTAAGGTTAATTCATTGAATGTTTTTTTTCTGTTTTGCTTTTTTTTTCTCTTTTTCGGTCATTCAATAAAATACTTTCATGTATTATTCAATAATCTATTCACAGTTGCATTGTATTTGACAAAGATTCGGTTAGTCAGTCAGTCAGTTAATCAATCAATGATAAAAATACATTAGCCTAAATGTAAAATCAGGTTAAGTTTAAGATTAATTATTATAGAAAAGGGAACAGTAATCATTTTTCTGTTTACTTCTTTCTTTCTTTCTTTCATGTAGTAAGTGAATTATACTTACTTACTTACTTACTCCTGTTACTCCTAATGGAGCATAGGCCGTCGACCAGCATTCTCCAACCCACTCTGTACTGGGCCTTTTTTTCTAGTTCCATCCAATTCTTGTTCATTTCTCTCATGTCTATCTCCCTTTCCCGGCGTAATGTGTTCTCTGGTCTTCCTGTTTTCCTTTGGCCTTGAAGATTCCATGCGGTGGCTTGCCGTGTGACACAGTTGGGTGCTTTCCTCAATGTGTGTCCTATCCACTTCCAGCGCTTCTTCCTGATTTCTTCCTCCGCTGGGATCTGGTTTGTTCGCTCCAACAATACGTTGTTGCTAATAGTGTCTAGCCAACGGATCCGAAGTATTTTGTGTAGACAACTGTTAATAATCACTTGTATCTTCTTGATGGCTTTCGTAGTTGTGCAAGTTTCCGCCCCATACAGTAGAAATGTTTCAACATTTGTATTAAAATTACTGACCTTGGTGTTGGTTGACAGACAGTTGTTTTGAGTTGCAGATGTTCATCAGTTGTAGATGTGCTGCTCTTGCTTTGCCGATCCGTGCCTTCACATCTGCATCAGATCCACCCTGTTCATCAATGATGCTGCCCAAATATGTAAAGGTTTTTACATCTTCCAAATCTTTGTCAAGTGTGATTTGACTGTTGCATGGTGTGTTGTATCGGAAAATCTTGCTTTTCCCTTTGTGTATATTGAGACCTACTGCTGCTGAGGCTGCTGCTACACTGATCGTCTTCTCTTGCATTTGTTGTTGCGTTTGGGATAGAAGGGCCAGATCATCTGCGAAGTCCAGATCGTCCAACTGCATCCTAAATATCCACTGTATGCCGTGCTTCCCTTCAGATGTTGACGTCTTCATGATCCAGTAGATCACCAGGAGAAAGAGAAAGGGTGAGAGTAAGCAACCTTGCCTGACACCGGTCTTTACTTCGAACGAGTTTGTGAGCTGTCCTCCGTGCACGATTTTGCAGTTTAATCGAGGAAGCTCCCATAGTGTTGTTCTGTCCACACTACCAAATGCTTTTTCATAGTCAATGAAGTTGATGTAGAGTAATGAATTTCATTCAATTGATTGTTCCACAATGACCCGTAGAGTTGGTCTGTACACGATCTATCCTTACGGAATCCTGCTTGTTGGTCTCGTAGTTTGGCGTCTACAGAGTATTTTTGTGTAATTATGAATTTACGTTATTATTGTTTATTTGTTTGTTTTTATTTTATTTTCCTGTTATTCCATATTTTCATTATGTTTCTCTATTTGTGATCCATTATGAAGGTGGCTTGCAAATTTGCTGATTTACATGATACACCTGGTCGTTTATTGGCTAGAAAACTTGTTCATCGATTAGTCGATTGGTCATCTAGTCGTAGTTTTTTTTATACACGTCTTAGACGTCGTCTATTAGAATTATCCGCATTGAATCTTATCAATGGTGTATTATCAAATAGTTCTGATCAATATCCAATTGATATGAAGTACACTACTACTAATACTACTAATCATAATGTGCCAGTTTTAAATTTTAATTGTGAGACTAATAATAGTAAAGAGATTTCATTGAAAGAAGAAGAGGAAATGGTGTCTAAACAATCATCAGTTAGTAGTAAGTCTTGTTTTATTTCATTTTCTTATTTAACCACAAAGTGTTTATTCAACTAATCTTTTTTTTTACAGCCATATTGTATCATTAAATAGTGTGATGTGATATCTCACCAGCAGCCCCTCATGATCAACGGATTAACTTGAAACGATTTTAGTTAGTTGGAAAATGACATAGAGTCTTGTACTCAAATTTTTTGTTTATCCCCAAATGCTGATTCAGCACATCTGTAGATTTTTAGTCGTTCACCTTCTAATCTCAAGATTCAAATTTATATCGTTCAATGTTCAGTTGGTCAATTAGTCGTACTTAACGCGAACACTAGCACATGTGTACATACATTCGAGTTACTATGTCAACTCAAATAACTTATTCTAGCTTCTGGATAGGCGAATTTATCCATTCTTTTTGAGTCACATTTTGACCCTGTCAATTATTCGTTTATGAACCTTGACTGTTTTTATGTAAGCGTATTTGTGTTTATTTCTTATCTTACTCATTACATGTCTGTAACTTATTTATTTTTGTTCGTCTGTAAATATCGACTAACGTTTGATTAAATCAAGTTGGCTCATCTACCATCTCCACCGCGTGTCATTTCGCTTCGATTGCTTCTTTTCGCTTCCTTTACTTAGTCCATCTGATTGTCTTTTAGTGGATCGGGATGTGACTCCAGTCATATCGTATGATTGATTGTTATTGAAATATACTTATTGTTTTAGCTAAGGAACATTGTTAGCTTACATAACATAAGATATGTACATTAAAATCTCCAACATGTAGATCGTAGCACTATTTGTGGATACCATCAGATGGACTGTAGTAATTAGAATCGATGGCTCTTGGTTGCGAAGCTGTAAGGGAAAATTTGTTGCTGGTGGTAGAAGTAATACTAAGAATTGATGAAGTTATTTGATTGTAAATAAGAAAACCTCTAGTGTTGTTAGACGTATAAAGAAGGTTGTCACTTCTAGGTAGCCCACTCTGTGAAAGAGTATTTTTCCCTGATTTGTCGGAAAAAGAAACAAATCCAATCTATAGTGTTACAATTAATATCGTTTGTTTAAATTCGAATCCATTTAAGTTACAGTTTAGTAATACTTCTGTGATATTCCTTGATAAAATGATTGAAAATCATAAATACAACATGATTTGAAGTTGGTTAGCTTGTGATAGATATACTTATCCTTCATCTCCAATTACATCTTATGTCTTAGCAACAGTTCTACTTTTGATCTACATTTTTTGTAAGTTCTAATTGAACTTTATCTCTAGTTGTTTAACTCCGTATCAACCATTAAGATTAGTATTATTAATACTCTCAATATGCTCAGGACAGGGTTGGATGGAGAATGCTGGTGAGCGGCCTATGCTCTTTCACGAGGAGTAACAGGCGTAAGTGAAAGTAAATACTCTCAATGTGCTAATGTTAATTTTTAGAAGTCGTTGTCTTTAAACAATCAATAAATTCTATTATTCGTGTATTTAGCAATATTTCTCTTTTGTTTTTTTTTTGTTTTTCTTATCAGAACTTCTACGTGTTGAAAGTAACCATAGAATACGTTTTGATTCAGAAAGTTTAACACAAACTGTTACAACTAATGATCTACCTAATAATTCCGATGGAAGATATTCACTTTCTTCAACTACCTTGAAGTCTACCGTTTGCAATAGAGAAGATGTTGCTAATATAATTGCTAAACAAGTTCCTAATTTAGGTATGTCAATGATTTATTGAAAGATGGTCGCGCAATTTCGTGGATTAGTTGATGTTAGACACTACCAACATTGCATGCCGGCTCAGCGGTTCAGTGGGTTAAGCGTTCGCGGGCGAGATCGAAGGCCCTGGGTTCGAATCCCGCGAGCGGGATCGTGGATGTGCACTGTTGAGGAGTCCCACAATAGGACAAAACGGTCGTCCAGTACTTCCAGGTTTCCAAAGGTGGTCTAACATGAATGGGTTCATGATCTCAATCAAAAACTTAATAATCTCCACAACCCCCATATTAATATTTATTTTCAGTCGGTATGATTGAAAATTTTGATTTTTGTTTAAGATCAAATTGATCGCATCATTTTCATGATCTAGAATTACGAATCTTTTTAATAGTTACTTTTATATGATGTAAAAATTATTGAGATATTTTGACGAGGGGGGGCTCATCACCATATGTGAGATGGACCTTGATTTATCAAGATTGAGGAAACTCAAGATAAAAATGGAAGCTAAATCTTGTTCTTCTATAATGCAGAACTCCATTTTTCTTCCTAATCCACTTATTGGCTCGTCCGTTAGACAGATTCATCGTCTAACACCATTTGTTTTAATGACTAATGACGTTGATACCATGACCAATAATCCGATTTGAAATAGATTAGGTTATCCCGTCTTCAATATTTTGACTGAAATTCGATCGTGATGAGAAGCGGAGGCAGCTCATTGCAAAGATCTTGATAGGTAGCGAATACAAAAGAGGTGGAAACGGTAGGCTACTGTTAAGGCTTGTCAGGGAAATAAGTTAGATAGTCTTCGAAAAAGATGAAACTATGATTCATTCTCAATCTAGGTAATAGGGCCGACGGTCAGAACACTTTAGGGAACACTTCAACTAGCCTTCAGCCACATTTCAGTTACCCAACATCTCCAAGTAACCCGAATGACAAGTTGATGTTTTATCAGGACTTTTATTGGTCAAGACCCGGACAAATGGTAGGGAGAGAAGTAATTGAGTGTCTTTATCACTTCACTGATCTCATGAAATCTGGTAGGTTGGTATTTGATAACATTTCGGCACGGATTCAGAAGATGCGACTGCGTTTTGCCAACTCGTGTCTCGTTAAGCGTAGCAGAGATACCTACCTATCGAGCACAGGATGAGCATACTGGGCGTCAGTCCTCTCCGTTTTACTTTATCGCTGTAAAAAATGACGATTAAGACTACAGGATGTTTGTAGTTAACTAGTATTCGATCATAGGTATCTTCGAAGCACTGGTCGTATATTTATGGATCATCGAGTTAGCAGTTGAAAGTTAGACGCAGAGTACCATATAAAGATGGGAAAACGATTGACAAGATAAGGAACCTTTATCGACTGAGATGGTTACTACGTGTATAACGTATGCCGATCCACTGGTCACTTTGACGAGTGATTCTGTCTTTTGTAGGGTGTGTTGGAAGAAAAATAGAGGTGACCAGACTAAGACATGGCATTAGTCCATGAAGTCATTGATAGTTGGACTGAGCCATGTGGATAGAATGATGATTATTGTATGTTTTGGGGGTTCGGTGGATTATCGTCACCATTAGTTAAAGACTAAATGGCACTGCCCCAAATGTTTTGGAATGTCTCGCGTAGATTCACTCCTTGTCTTTTCCAATAGCCTTAGTTTCTAAATCCATTATGAATTGTTTTCGATTCACTAATTTGTATTTTCTTTTCGAATGGTATCTTTAATGCTTAATTTTGTCCAGTGCCACTAGCACAGTTACTACTTCTGCTACGTTGGAATTTCTACTAACAGTTTCATCTCACTATACAAACAGGTCAACTTATAGTGTGGTACATATTTACAATTTCCTACTTTGCTTCTTACCTAGTGGATTTTTGTTTTTTGCTTATTATCTCAATTTATCTTTTGCTTTATAAGTTTGTGTAGTCTAGATGTTAGCTAGTTAGTTAGTTCACAATGAAAGCCAGCTCACTTGTGTCTTCCTTTTTAGAGCCTGTCGTTTGCTTGATTAAATAAAACCTTTTACTGATACTGAAGGTTTCTAAGTTCCATCGCTAACTGAGTAATGGTTTCCCTTTGTTGTGATATTTTTAGAATTCGTTCAAACATTCATTAAGTGCTCTCTTCTTTTAATGGTTGATGACGCAATCATAAAACGTTTTTGTCTTGTGGACTGTTATATTGTGTTGTCTGCAAAAATATAAATAATGTATGATTGAAGATTAAGGCTTCGCTGCCGTGGAAGTCCTACTCCCTACCTTCTCGCAGCATTACTGTTGTGTACGAAAGTGACAACAAAAAAAAACAAATATCTGACGCTTTAACCGGATTGATGGACACTGAGAGTTCACCTAGGGAAGTTGGAAAACTCTGATTCCTCCAAACCAATAGTGTATATAGGCTCCAGTATCATGAATGAACAAATAGCGTATCAATCAATCGTTGATCATCGGACTGCATCTGCTTACTTTGCGCCACTTCACCTTGTGGTTTAGACCTTTAAGTCAAAGGCTCTGAGTGTTGTATCTCCCTAAGAAAACTACTTGATTCGGTTTTTGGTACCCGAGTAGTAGTATCTCAGCCCTCATATAAATCGAATGATTTATATGGCGTATATTTATATTTGATGCCTTCTTATACTAATATTTACATCAGAAAGGGGTTTTGTGGAGATTTTACAAATTTCACTGGTTGAAATCATGAAGCTAGACCATCATGGAAAACCTGGAAGCACTGGGCGGCCATTTCGTGCTGTTGTGAGACTCCTCAGCATTGTGCATCCACCATCCCGCTCCCCGTCGAGATTCGAATCCAGGACCTGTCAGTCTCGCGCTAGGCACTTAACCAACTCGACCACTGAGCTGTCCGGCATCCAACGATGATCTAGCTTCAATTGATTCATGATTTCAACCAGTCATATTTATAGGTTTAAATCAATCATTTGTTTCTTCTTTTTTTATTTTTAGCTATTGGTTACACCTATCATACTGGTCATAAAATGTCTCTATTAAAAGAATGGTTTATTGAAGCATTGAATAATACTCATTCTAATATAAATAATTATGATATATGGGATAATAATGATTTACTTATTGGTAATTGGTTAGCTAATGAATTAAATTGTAATGAATTATGTGAATTAGCAACGATTGAAACCATTGAAGAATTTTATTCTACAGATCTATTCATTCATTGTCTTTCATTTACTTCAGTGAATCATTTCCATAGAAACAATCATAATATTAATTTACAATTATTTAATAAAAATATTATTCAAACAAAAATTCAACAATTACGTAATCAATATATCATGGAACATATGAAACAGTAAGTTCAATTTATTATTGAATATGATTATAGATTACATTTATATTAAGATGATTGATTTGTGAAGGTGGTAGTCAATATGAAAATTCTAGATTTGGGTGTTGTGTTATTGGGTACTTTGTTAACAAAATGTATCCAGGTTCTAAGGTTTTTGTATTGACTACCACCTCTAGCACAATGTCAAGTCATCTAGACTAGTGACTTGGTCTATCGACCAAGTTTCTCGTCCTTTTATCCGTCTATCAATAAAAGGACGAGTATACTGCTCGGCAATTTGTTCTGTTTTAATTTACGGCAGTGAAACATGGCCATTAAAAGTAGAAGATACTCATACGTATGCCTAATTACCGATTACTACGACGTGCAATGCTAACCGGTGTTGGAGATGGTTGGAAGAAAGTTAGAAGCGGCCAAACCAAAACGTGGCATCAGTCATTCAATTCACTGACTTCTAGGCTGAGCCATGTTGGTAGATGCAGACTACTTGGTTGGGGTCCGCGTGTCTATCGTAGCCAATGGTTGGAGACTGTGGGTGACATGGCTCAGAATCTATCAGAATGGCGCCAGTGTATACACTCTGTGTCTTCCCTTAAATTAAGAGGTTAAAATCGCTTCATATCTTTCTTTCTAAGAACTAATTCTTTCTTCCTGTACTATATCCTTATTGCCATCCTTCTTTTACATAATACCACCTCTGAATTAACCACTTATATGAATCCGTTGTCCATCTTGTTGTGTTAATGAGGTATGGCAACTTGGACCGATGCATATATGTGCCTGATCCTACGTTGTAGCTGACTGACTGACTGAACTTGGTCGATAGCATTTGATCTGCAATAAGGATTTGACACATATGATATTATTGATTACTATTCACTGATCAATCAAATATGATCACTTATACTTGTAAATGAATCGATCATTAATTCATAATCGATACTTTGTCCGATCGAAAGTGTCTGTGTTAGTTGCTAAGTAAATAGGACGAGACTCTAATGTATGGATGACCTTTGAACGAATATTAAGTCACCTTGAGAAATATTAGCCAATCAGCAAACAGTCAGTATAGAGTAAAAATATATTATATAAAACCAAGGAAATAAAGTGGACACACTTCTTATATGTGGTTCAAAAACTCGTCAATGTTAGAAAGAGGTTCAGAGGTCCTAAAATCATAATGCATGCAGTAGAGGAAATCATCCATATATTACATTGTACAAAAACCAAACTATCTAAATAGATCTCATTTCAGTGTTATTATGCCTTATACGGTCGTAACCAGTGAAGTTCAGCTGCATTATGCATCAGTTTGATATCACCTATACAATGGATAATGCTAACTCGATTACCAAATGGTAACATTTTGTCTAGTAGTTCTCATCGGTTTCAGTAGTTGTTCACCCAAAGTGTTAGTCCAATGAAATAATCTTCGCATATCTCTTTCGATAATAACTAATTGTTTTTTTGTCTTTGTTTTATTTTTGTTTATTTTAACACATAGATATTGGTACAAGGAGACACCAAATACATATGCGCCACACAAATCTCATTCGATACGTGTGAGGGCTGTAATACTGCTCGAGTGCCCAGACCGAAGCAGGTGGTTTTCTTTAGGGGCCACACCCCAAGCCTTTAACTTAAAGGTCTAACCCACAAGGCAGTGGAGCAACATCAGGAGATGCAGTCCCATGGTAGCCGGTCACCAACAATTAATTCATACGCCATTTTTCTCTCAGGATACTGGAGCCCATGTGCACCATTGGTTTGGGATCCGGTTAAAGCGCCGGACATTCGCCTTTCATCCTCTCATTTTCGTAAACAACAGTAATGCCACGAGAAGGCAATGTCTAGGACTTCCCTGACAGTGATTGTATGCACGTGGCCATGTGAGAGCATTTGGAGAGGGAGAGCGGACTCTCCTCTCTCTCGGCCGTACCAGGGCATTTGGGGGCTTTTTTCTTTGTACACTCCCGTCTAACAACTAGGTTCATCATAATAAATCTTTTTTGTTTTCATTAGATTTCTTTCTTTCTACACTTTGTTTTTGTTTGTTTTGTTTTGTTTTTAGATCGCTTATTCATAGTTCACAATTATCATCGAATGAATTAACTACATTATTTCAAACTGTACTCACTTCATCTGAACGTTATCATTTAGCTAAACTTCTTTTATCAGATTCTACACTAAAAACAGATGATCATATTAATAATAATCATAATAATGATGATGATGATAAACCAAATGTAAATGATTGAAAAATCAATAACTCTCCTTTATTACATCATAAAAAGGATCATTGATATGTTTCTGTGATCTTTATTGATTTTTTTTTTCTTCTTCTTTGATTAGATTGTGTATTCGTTTCACTTTAATTATTGATTAATCATAAATTAGGCTTCTTAAAATTCTTATTTCTATCATAACAATGTTAATTTCATATTTGTAATGTAATTGATTTATTCTCTTTCATATTAGTATATCAATAAGGAAAGATCGATAAAGAGGAGAAGGGGGGGGATCGAGAACATTTACTCCATGAACTGAGCAAATGAATTCAATAATATTTTTGATCGTTATATTAATGTATGTTAATAATTTGCTCACTATCTAATATATGTATCTGCATAATTGTTTATACTTTTAATTACTGCTGAATAAAATTTCACATAGAAACTGTATAAAATACATACTTATGTAAAGAAGAAAAACAAAATCGTTATTCTTGTAATTTACAAACAACCACCCACCCACCCATGCACACATACACATACATGACAACAAGACTTATATCCATTTGATTAAGATTTCATGAAGTTTTCTTTGTGTCACTGTCTACTTTTTGTGTTCTCCATGAGGTTTACTTTTCTACTTCCATGTGTTGTTGTTGTTGTTTTTTTTTAAATCTCGGTCTCATCATTTCGATCTTTTAGTTATTCTGTTCTCTTGTGTGTTTTTTTCTTGTTGTTGTTGTTCTTGTCATTCTACACTTTCTCTTGTACAAAACAATCGAGAAGAGAGAGAAAAAAAACCAAATAACTGAGAGAAAAGATGATTCGATGATAGAATTGAAATTACCCTCCCCCCCCGCCCTTACCTTCCGCTACGTATACATTACGTATGTGATTTCATTCATTCCAATATAATTGTTATAATGCCTATTAACCTATTTTAATTCTTATTAACTGTATTCAAATAAATCATTTCTATTGTATGTGTTAAATACAAGATATTTAGTTGCTATGGGTAGTCTAATCTAACATTGTTTCATCATTTAGAAATAGGGTATACTCGTCGTGTGAAATCTTAAAAGGATTATCGTTTATTCTTCTGTACCCTGATTGTTGATGCTAGTCGATTGAAACAGATTCTTATGGTATGAAGATACTATTTCTGTCAGAATGTTACTTCAAGATTCGGTTTTAGTAACTATACAAATGAATAGTTTGAAGTTCAGTCTGTCAGTGACAACGTAGACCTACGTACGTACATACGTCAGTTTGAGTTGCCACACTAAATTAGCACAGAGATACAGTTGTCGATTCAAATTCCGTAGTAATAGAGGTGGTAAGAGTATAAGCAGTAATCGAAAAGATTAGGGTTTGAAGATATTATTTAAAGAGTATTTTTACTGATCCTTCAAATATTCCACATTTAGTAAATAGTTGTCTGACCAATAAGATTTGAAATTCCTAATCTTTCTATCTGACTGTCATTGTTTAATAGTATTCATCCATGACTCCATCAGAAATAAAGCTCAGATTCACTTGCCCCCAAATGCCTTGATACGTCCGAGAGTGGGGAGAGTCCGCTCTCCCTCTCCAAAAGCTCTCATATGGCCACGCGTATATAGCCTCTGACAGGAAGGTTCTACTCATTGCCTTCTCGTGGCATTACTGTTGTTTACGAAAATGAGAGGATGAAAAGCGAATGTCCGGCGCTTTAACCGGATCCCAAACCAATGGTGCACATGGGCTCCAGTATCCTGAGAGAACAAATGGCGTATGAATTGATTGTTGGTGACCGGCTACCAAGGGACTGCATCTCCTGATGTTGCTCCACTATCTCGTGGATCAGACCTTCAGGTTGAAGGCTCGGGGAGTGTCCCCCTAAGAAAACCACCTGCTTCGGTTTGGGCACCCGGGTAGTATCACAGCCTTCACACGTATGAAATGAGATTTGTGTGGCGCATATGTATTTGGTGCCCTCTTGTACCAATATTTGTGTGTTAAAACAAATAAAATCAGATTCACTGGGCTAAAACAACATTTCAACCTTCTTTATTTTTGGATGATTGTCTGTATACAGTCAACGCAAAATACAAAATGCCAAGAGAATAATCTCCACAATACTATATTAACTGTAATTCCTTACCCTGTGCCAGTAATCAAACAAAGCATGGATAATATCCACATGTTATCGGTTACTCATGAAAGTTATTTATTAAGAATAGTCTTTAGAAAGATTGCTTGAATGAGATGTATTTACAGCTGTACACCTTTTAAATAATTTTGATTTCAAGAGGCAACTTCATTTACTACAAAAATATTATCGTATAGTATCATCTTGTATTAGAGCCTACAGACTGACTGTATTTTTTAAATGGGCAAACGATACTAGAAGCACTGAACGGCTGTTTCGTCTTATTGTGTGAGTCCTCGGCAGTTCGCTTGCGGCATTCGAACCCATGTGCTCACTAGTGACTAGCTTCGTGACGGAATTCTCGGGGTTTTAATGGGAAGCTATAACCAGTGGAGCTAGTCTATGTCATGTAGAGACAGGTATCTACCTCAGTACAATGGAAGGTGGTCGCTCATTTTCGTGCATTGGTTGGATACTGGCTCAGTGGTCTAGAGGTTAAGCATTCGCACGCAAGAACGAAGGCCTTAGGTTCAAATCCCGCAAGCGGGATCATGGATGCACACTACTGAATAGTTCCACAATAGGATGAGATGGCCGTTTAGTGATTCCAGGTTTTCAATGGTGGTCTAACCAATCGATTCATGATCTCAATCGAAAAACTTAATAATTTCCACAACCTTATACTGAAACCGATACCAGCATTGCACGCAACAAGTCTTTGTTAAGCTTTAAGCACTTCGATATAACTCTTAAGATATTTCAAAAAATTACTATTTCGACTAATATAATATAAATTAAACATGAAATCTTTGAAAAAACAAAGACCATACCGAATAGTTTCCATAATGTGATAATGTACATGAATAATCTATAAGTAGCATTGATACTCAGAAATGGAATACAGGGTTTTAATGGTTAATTATTCATATTACAACGTTATGTAACTGATGAATGTCATGCAATCTCTGATTGGTAAAATAACTAATTTATTTTTTTTTGATTGAGATCATGAACCGATTGATGTTAAACCACTATCGAAAACCTGGAACCACTGGACGGCCGTTTCGTCCGATTGTGGAACTCCTCAGTGACAGTGCTCATCCACGACCCCGTCTCGTAGGATTCGAACACAGGGCCCTCAGTCTCGCGCGTGGACGCTTAAACTACTGGACCACTGAGCCAGCCGGCATCCAATGGATGGTGTTAATGTCTAACTTCAACCAATCCACGAAGTTGCGCGCCCATCTTCCATTGTACTGAGGTAGACACCTGTTTCTACCCGACACGTATTAGCTCCACTGGTCACCGCTTCTCACCAGAACTCCGAAAATTCCGTCACGAAGCTAGTCACTAGTGAGCACATGGTAATTATCAATTTATGGGTTGTGGAGATTGTTAAGTTCATTCCACTACAAAATATAAGTAGTATCTTGAATTAAGTGAAATTTTCTAAACATTACGAACTTTACTATTCGCTGACCATACATAATGATATAACGGGAACCATGTCCAATACTTCAAATATTAGTTAAGTAAATATAGAAAATCGTATTCTTACAAATCCTCACCCAATTAAATTACTTAGGAAAGCTTCAAATACTTCATCTCTATGAAATAGCGATACATACATCATTGTAAACTTGCATATACATTCAACTGAGAATTATATCTAAAAACAGTTGGTTAAGCGCCTGGCGTGAGACTGATAGGTCCTGGGTTCGGATCTCGCCGGAGGCGGGGTCGTGGATGCGCGCTGTCACTGAGGAGTCCCACAATAGGACGAAATGGCCGCTCAGGTTTTCCATGGTGGTCTAGCTTCAATTGACTCATGATCTGAACTGTTGAAAAACAGAATATTCTGATTGTGATCATGAACCGCGTGATGCTAGACTACCATTGAAAACCTGGAATCACTAGACGTCCATTTCATTCTATTGTAAGTCTCCTCAGTAGTGCACATCTATAATCTCGCCTCATAAGATTCAAACCCAAGGTCTTCTACTTCATTTCAAGTTAGTTAGTTACTTATTAAATACTATAAATAATCCAGTTACTCAAAATTATACAACCACATCGACTCCCTTACCTGGAATTTAATACTTCAATACATATTTAGTCACTTTGTACATCCATAAAACGTTGAAATAACGAACTGATCAATTGTTTATATTATCTCTATTATAGTTACTTACGGACTTTGATTGAAGAAATAAGATGCATAGATTGATAGCAAGTTATATTTTTCTTAAAGAGACTTATTAAACCATAAGTATCATGATTAATTTTTATTCTTATATAATCCCAGCTTGAACTTAACCAAGTATATACTTGAACCTATAAACCTATTCATTTATATAAACAAATGAGGAGAAATGAAAAAAAAGGAAATCTTACAAGGAATTATTTATTATCCTTTCTTAGTGGATAAACAAACAGATTTGGCTTCACTTGGTATTGTTTGGCTTGTATCTTCCTATTGAGGTTTAAGACTGCAATGGCATCTGAAGCGAATGGTACTGGGTTCGAGTCCCAGAGTGAATATCCACTCTGAGATACAAATACATCCGTTGACGAGTCCCAAATAGGATGAAACGCGTGTCCTGGATTCCACTGCTAGTCACTATCCATCATTGCTTACAAAAAGATTTGGCTTCAGTTTTATACACCTCACTTTCAGGTTTTATATCGAATGTAAGCGATTTTAATCGATTGAGAATACTAACATAGCTTAAAAACATCATCGATAAATAAGAAGGATCAGATACAGACATCAAAGGCGAAGATTAGCAAATCAATTGACGAATATATGGAACTCAAGACAACTGTTAATTAATATTAAAGTCACAATCTTCAATACGAATATCAAGACAATTCTATTGTACAGAGCTTAAACTTCGAGAACTACTACAAACATCATCAAGAAGGTGCAAGTATTCATAAATAGTTGTTTATGCAAGATATTCAACATCCATTGATCGGATACCATTGAAGAGTAAATTAGGAAAAGACGATTGAAATGGATCAGATATACACTACGCAAATCATCAAACTACACCATGAGGCAAGCCTCAACATGGAATCCTGAAGGGAATTGGAAAATAGGAAGTGAAAGAACACATTACATCGGGATATAGAATCAAATATGAAAAGGATGAATAACAACTGGAAAGAGTTGGAAAAGATTGTTTAGGACAGGATTGAATGGAGAGTGCTGGTTGGCGGCCTATTCTCCTCACGAGGAGTAACAGGCGTAAGTAAGTAAGTAAGTTAAAAAAATAGTTTCAAAAAGTAAGATTATAACATCGTTTAAGAATAAAATGTTCTGATGAAACTTTTTTTAAGTAACTGATTAGGATGCTTAAAACTGTGTAGCAGCTCTATACTAAGACGAAACATGTTCCAATGTCCTTAATTTTTAATGAGCATCCTCTAATTTCTGTCTATTTGTGATATTCAATATCTTTCATACTGATAACCAGACAATAGACAACAGATATACACACATCCACATACATGGTCATACACAATCCTCATCGAATGTCTATGTCACAATGAAGTTTAACGAAATACCGACTAAAAGATTTTTAAACAATCTACACTCCTGAGTACATAACTAAAGTATCCAAGTGAATGTTATTTTGCTAGAGTCATATTAGTAATGAATGAGTTATAACAAATGTTTGTAGCGGCCTGTTTGAACATTTGAGCTACCTGTTCCTACCATTGGTCTCAATATGTTAACACGTTATCTAATTCGGATGTTTGTTTGTTTTGATACACATCATTATTGGCTATTCATCGCATAACCTAATTCAGATGAGTTTCTCAGATGTGTACAACCTTTCATTGTACAAGTTATAAAAGCGCCTAATCAGAGATATAGTGGTTACTGGTAATATTCAGCGAAATGAATGTACATCGTTTAGATGTCGATTGATTGGACTTCTAACATCTAACTG